GCTAATATGGCTAACTACATGCTGCAGAGTCATTTCACGAAAATACATCCATCCCGCCGCAGCATAGAAAGAGGGGGGGGGGACGCGTGTGCACCCTTCGGATTTAAGGTTAGTCTGACAAGCCACGAAACTTCAGGGTTTTTGACACCCTCCCCTTTTCCCGTGTGAGGGAGAAAGAAAACTGGGCTGGGTGAGGGAGGGACCACGCGGTCTGAGATTTCGGCTAGGTAATAGTAGACCACCTCCTGGGAGTCGTGTTGTTGAGACTGAAGCAAGATACGGCTTGGGATTGAGGTCTGTAGTCTGTAGGTAGTCTGTCTGTCGCTGGAAGCTACCTGAGTAGTACTGAGTATGTACTATGTAGTCATGTGCAGTGCACATCCCCGAGACAGGGTCTAGCCAGATCGATGGGAGGTGAAAGTCGTCAGGAATACCGGATTGGGAAACGGGTGTTGCGATCGCCACGAGAGCGGGCTCGCACGGATTACCGTCTTGGAAGTGAGTGAGTGCTGAGAATGGTACAGAGTCATACACAGACTTATATCTCTGATTATACAGTAAGGAGTACCTAGTGTTATAATCGTACGGGTGGTGGCCACCAGGCAGGAGTATAGCAAACTCACCAGCATCCAACCCGAAAGAGGGAAGAAAACAGTGCATCTCATCGCAGAGAGACACTCAAGCAAAAAAAACCAAACCAAAGGCCCTGAGATCTTCAGGGTCCGAAAAGAAAGTTTGGGAACCGTAGCTTGTCGGAGCTATTACGTAGGCCCACTTCATTCCTCCCTCCCTCCCTCCCTCCAAAAGAGAGGATACGAGTACGAGATGGATTGTTATTCCCGCTTGGGTTGGTTGGATTTGTTCAGGGTCAGACAGAGAGCCCCGGTGAATTGTGGTATGGGGTTATTCGGTTTTTTTTTTTTTTTTTGGTCTTCTTTTCCTTATTTTTTCCCTTTACTTGGTTTCTCTTTTCCAGAAATTCGGACCACGCATATACCTTTCTCTAAGGAGGGGAAGATTATTGGCTGGTGGAATCACTAGTGTAGGGAAAATGGGCTTCGCTTGGCGTCACGTTACCCTCGACTCTGCCAGTTGGGTTTTTTTTTTTTTTTGGTTTTTGTTTTTCTCGCTGGGCTTGAAGGAGGAATTTGCTGCGATAATAATTTTGGGTGGGGTTTTGCGAGAAGCGATTGCACTTTTGCTGTCAATGCTGCGAGATTTTTTAGAGTTTATTTTTTTTTCTTACTTTTAAATCATAACAGGGACTCTGTGTACAAGTCAAGTGATTTCTGTAGTGCAACATTTCAAGTAAAGTAAACAAATACCTACGAGGGAAAAGTGTATATACAGCTGATCATTTCCTACCATGTGGCCTGATACTTTATCATTAAGTTATCTCCGTTTCTCCTCCTCCTTTAAATGACCGTGACTCGCTCAAGCTTATCACACGCACTCCAAAACAACCAAAGAAAAGCAAAAAGAAAAGAAACGAGAAAGCCACTAGCACTTTTAAGCCCACACAGGGCTGCGTAAGCAGAGACGTCACTCAGTGGGGTCTGAGATTTGACATGCCGCGCGTAGGAATCAGAATTCGTTCTTTAGCATCAGCCAAAGTGGGCTCGGAAAGGGAAAGAAGGAGAGATACGCTTGGGGTTTGCCGGAGGCTAGCCTCAAAAGCGCCTAAGCTGGATGCAGTAGTGGGAGGAGGGTTGGTCAGGGCGAACGGGGCCATGGAATTTGATTTTGTGACTAGTTATTGACTCCGTACTAGTCATCTCGACTATTCGGTAGATAGGGATGGGGGATTTCATTTGGCTGGATGGGGTGGGCTAACATAGCATCACAACTTCAGAGCCCATGCTGTGTGCGCTGCAGTGGACACTGGATGTTCAATTTAACTACATTGTAACTACAGTACACACTTGGTCATTCATCAATCACGACACACGACAAAAAGAGAGCTGAGGATGGTATACGTAAGCTAAGCTATAACTAACCAACCCAGACACCCACAAGTACAGTGTGCATGTCTGCATGAGGCTTGCTTCTGCTTGGAGCAACTATCGAACCGCTTCCCACAGTCGCCGCAGATGATGAGATTGGTATCATATCTAGCGCCAGTTTGCGTAATAATCCCCTTCTCCAGCATTGCCGCCTGCATTCGCCCCGTTGGTGGAGGGGCCCCTTCCCCCCTCCCTCCGGGGCCTACACAAGCACTCCCTCCTGTCCCTGTCGTCCCGATTGCTGTGATCGTGTTGAACCTCCCTCTGGGGGCCAGGAGGATGTAATCTCGGTGCGCGAGCAATAACTTTCGATCCATCAATGTAATGGTGAACTCGATCAGGGGCAGTTGACGTGGACGCCTACGAATGAGTGGGACTTTTGATTTGCGTGGTCGAGAAACTAGGGCTGGCGGGGAACGCGAGAACAAGATATTCTGGCGCCGACTAGAGCTTTGATGGGGACGCAGGGCGCTCCGGCCGACACATATCGCTTTTATCATCACGCCGGTTAACTTGTCGATATCTTTCTGCCTGGTGCGGGCAAGGACAATGGCAATTTCGGGGGTGATGGGGAGTTCCACAGATCGGGGGCAAGGCGAACCTGCTCACGACACCCCGACCCAGGCTGACCTTGCGCCGTCTTGATGCGCCCCAGTGGGCTGGATGATAACGCGAGTGCTGTCTCGGTCCTCCTCCTTCTCCTTCAGTAGCAAGTACGTAGCAGGTTGCCTGAGTCTACGTGTGCATGATGACGGCGCTGCTGCAGGCTCCCTTCCCCGGGGGCAAAGAAGTCGAAGCAACATAAGCGTCCCTGACTCGGGACAACTGCCCCCTCCTCCTGCAAGATGTAGGTATACCTCCTGGGCGTAGTTAATGCAAACGTGTCTCAGTCAGCCACTACGACTACCTACCCAACTCCCCGCGAGTGCGGAAAAGAAGGGTCTCGTGCGTCGCAACAGACCAACAACGTATCGGGGCGGCACGCAGAGTGAACCTGCAGGGAAGATCATGCCTAGTCAGTGCTAGTAGACTTGAAGCACATACGAGGAGGAGAAACCATCCCATCCCGCTTCGACTCCGTGGGATGACATTCGGATCCTACTTTGCGTAGATGAGGACGTCCGAAGAAGACCGCCCCGCACCCGGCGTCGTTGGAGTAAGCAGCCACCAAGCAACAAGCACTCGGGTTGGATTGATCTTGGGCTGGTTGTTTCACGCATGCCCGCAGCGGCATGTCTTCCTTTGCACTTTCTGATCGAGGAAGGTTGATCCAGGGAAGCGAGGGGGGCTTGGCTCGCTGTCACTACCGTGGCATGCCTTAGTGGGCGGAGGGGGGCAGGGGGGAGGGGGGAAAGGGTTCTATTGGAGTGAACCCTCACGTTGGCCATGATCTAGCATGGCTATCGTAAACCCTGAAGGCTGCTGGTCATGCTCGCCCTTCCCGCCCTGCAGGTGAGACGGTGGCGCATGGTACGAGGTGCGCATTCTACGTAGCTGGTGAGGATGAGGGCTTCTCAAGTCACACGCCGCTCGCTTAGTGAAAGAAGCCTTTGCTCGTAGATTGACCGCGAGGTCCATGTCTCTCGTCATATCATGGTCATTGAACGGACTCGTGCCATGCGAGTGGCACACGAGGACCCGTAGGTACAGAAGTCTCTTTACGCAGCCATGATCAGGTACTAATGATGTTCTCTCGAGACAGATACCCGAAGCATTGACAAGCTCGGTCTATTCCCTGCGTCGATTCTATCTTCACTGTGCCTGTTGATGCTCTTTCTCGTTCACCACTCAGCCAGCCCTCCACGTCTTCTACAGCGTCGGTGAACCGCAATTTGCCATGGCATGCAATCCAGCTGCCTAGATCTGTAGCTCCGCGAGATCATTGTGCACCGGACCCCGGACCTGCAATGCTAGTGCAACTATGCAACCTAGTGCGCTGAATCTTTACGCGTATCCAAGTCCACTCCTTGCAATATAGCTCTGGCTACTGCCGATTTCCGTCTACATCCATATCCGGCACGTCCTGTTCCTGATCCACGCAATGCGCGTCTGCTCGTGGACTCCGCGAAGCCCTCACGACGCGGGGGGGTAATGACGGGGCTGGCGTCGCTCATTGTGGGGTGAGTATGATCGCCAGGGGCACTGTTGCATTTGGCAAGACTCAAGCTGACAGGACTATCGTCTGAAGGCTGTTGATGGCATGGAATGACCGAAAGACGCATGCGGGTTCTATCGATAAGCAAGAGACCCGGATGCATCTCATTGCATTCTCGAAGCGACAGACTGCTTCGCTGTCCACGCGGATCGACCTCGTGTCATACCCAGCCACAACTATATCGCCGATGCCCACACATACCGACGCGTCTCTTGGGTGGCGGAGAGCCGGCGTGATGTCGACTTGCCCTGACGAGGAATGCGGCGGAGGCCATCCAGCCCTTATCGATGAACATTCCAGGAGAGGGCAGACTGCTGGACTAACCCTTATCGCATTCGTGGCGAGTGGCGAGGATTCCTGGGGTTGTCTTGCCGGGCGTTGGAATGTGAGATCGCGAACCCGCGTCGACTGTTCAGGGGAAGAAGAGTGCATGCCGAGTCTCAGATCAGTCTCTGAAACGAGAAGCAGATGCCGGGTCGTGTCGAGTTGTCGTCTGTATACCTGTAGTGTAGTGTGTGTTGAAGATATCTGAATCAGAGACGATGCTGGCACCAGCGCAAGCCCAGCCTCCCATGAAATTTCCCAATCAGCCCAGAAGAATTCCGAATAGATCGGCTCATCGCGTCAAGATCACGACCGGCCACCCGACCGATGCTTAGGAATGTGTCGGAGCGAGCAATTGAAGCAGCCGAGTGGCATTGCCCCGCGACTTTTTTTTTCCCCAGCCATCCACATTCCAGGGCCGGGAGAGTCTTTGGTCCAGCGCTTTTCACGACGATCCAAAAACTATATCTACCACGATGTCGTTCGCCTTCTGCATCATCATCATCTCATCATCATCATCAGCATCATCAGCATTATCACAGAGTCTAATCTCCATCTCAACCCTCAGTTTCCTGCTCACATCCACAACTCAATCTCCCAACCAACCAACCAACCAACCAATCAACCAATCAACAATCAATCACAATGGCCATCCTCGCGAAGACTTCTTCCCTGGCTTGCTTCCTCATTGCCTGCCTCTTCTTCTCGTCTCTCATCCAGGCACTTCCCGTCCCTGGCTCCAAGGCTCCAGCGGGGGTAACCTCCTTGGCTGCACGCTCACCGGTACGGATCCATCCCGAGAATGATAGTAAAAATCCTATCACAGCCCAACTAACACCACCACCACCGTTACAGCGCGAAATCCCCTCCGACAGCGATGACAACGGCATCCTGAACGGCCTCCTCGAGGCCCTGGGCCTGCCCAATCTCACCAAGCTCAACCACTGGAAAGACCTCAACGAGCCAAAAGGCTCCCACTCGGACCCGGACACCGACACCGACACCGACACCGATCCTGATACCGAGACCGATCCCGAGACCGACGCAGAGGCAGACCAAGACCCTGAAGAAGAAGAGTCGCCTGCCGAGGAAGACACCGAGGAAGACACCGAGGAAGACTCCTCCCCATTCACCGATTTCTCCGCCGACACCGACTTTCCCACCGAGCCAACCGACTCCTCCGACGCAAACCCTAACCCTCACAACCACTTCTCCACCTCCTCCTACAGCAACCCTTTCCTCCCCGATACCTTCAAAAACAACTTCAAAGACTCCCTCAAGGACTCCCTCATGAACTGGCGCGATAACTACACCCCCTCCGTCGACGACGGCAACAACCTCACCCCTACCGTCGACACCGCCGATGATCTGACCGAGACGGACGCCGACCAGACCAACAACAACAACGGGGCGTTGGCGGATGCGGCTTCGAGCGCCTCGACCATGAACTCGGAGGATCAGGGTCAGAGTCTCCCCCGGCCGTCCAAGAATCCTCAGGGGTTCGTGTCTGGGTTGACGCAGCGGTTGGAGGATACGTTGAAGGCGGCGTTTGATAGTCAGGATGAGTTGACGCTCTTTTAGTCTGCTTTGTTTGGGGGTTTTGTTCTCTTTTTTGAATGGTTGGTGTTGAATTGCATTGAATTTGGGTGTTACTGGTGTTGATTTGCTGATTAGGCGTTGGGATATCGGAGTCTGGGATTATTTCTGTCTTTATTTTTTTCCCGCCTTTTGGGCTATCTGGGTGTGTGTGGTTGGTGTTTGGAACAAAAGATCGGAGAACTCAGGGTTACTAGTTTATCGTGAGGGATTGTTGGCTTTGGATGGTGGATGGACTTGTAGTATAGATAACTTGCATAGATAAGATTCTGATAGATAATAACAGAGCAGTCTGACTTAACATTTTTCTGGTTTCATCTTCTGCAGTTCTTCTCGTTGTTTCTGGGTATGTTCCTGAGGGATGGATGTTCTCACATCGTCTCTCAGTAGATTGTAAATGGATTAACCACTTGCAGCATGCTCACCATGTCTCCAGAATCGCACAGTCTACAATACATTTATCCACGGTCATGCACAGTCAACGCAAGCATTACGGACATTATTCCATTCCCGACCGGGACACAACCACGGACAGCATGCCTCTATGCAAAGAACAAAATTGGCAAACGTGATTCTATCAGCACAGCAGCACAACAAAGATGTGGCATATATCGAGTCAACCATATACATATACACACAGGGAGACACACAAAAACACGGGGGAATCAGAAGCAATGCTGATTTGACACACACAGAGAGAGACAGGAAGAGATAGTACTAGGAGGTATCGTAGGCAACGACTTTAGATCAACAATTGGCGCTAGATGGATGGGTCTACAGATTAGACATAATATAGAGCGGTAGATAACAAGCGCAGGAAAGAGAGTGCGAAGAACGGAAGAAAGAGAGAGAGAGACAACGCGGCGAGCTGTACAATCCATCCATAGCAGATAGATCGGTGCGGTCAAGGAGAGAGAGAGAGAGAGAGACTTTTTTACACGGGACACCTCCGAGGAGCCGGTGATGTAAAGCGGGGTCGAGGGGAACCAGAGAGAGAACGGGAGCAGAAGGGCTGGAGGTAAATTGACGGGCACGTGGATTGACGAAAAGGCCCAGGAAAGTGCCAGGCGGTTCATTTGTCGCCGTTCAAATTCAACCAGCTCATATCGGAATTCACATTGGCTGTTTGACCGCCTCCACTGTGCCCCGGTTCGTCGTGTTCCGGCATCGGTGCCAAACTGTCCGGAATGAGAATGCTGGATCCACGGTGGTTGTAAGCGCTGGAGGGGTCGAGCCGGGAGTCGCCATCGGAGGGCATGGCCATGGAGGGTGCCATGGAAGGCGCACGGGTGCTGGGGTTGTAGTAGCTTCGACTGTAGGTGCTGCTGGGAGGTCTCCCCATCCAGCTGCGGGATTGCCAGTGCGGATCACTCTCCATGTCGTCGTCAATGGAGGATGCGGTCGAGATGCGGGCGGACTGGCTTTCCGGGATGATCATCTGTCGGCCCTCTGCGGAGATGATCGACGATGCATGTTCGGTAGTGGGACTGCCGCTGATCACTTGTCCCCCGAGGGCTTTGGGCTCGTCCAAGAATCCGAAGTTCAGGGGCGCCAGCTTGATCGGCCATGCGGTGCTGCTCGAGTCAGTCCGGTTGCTCCGCAGCCCCGAAGCAGGAGGCTGGAGCGTTGGTGGCTGCACCCCGGCCAGGTCAGTCGCACTGTTATCTTGGAAGTACCGACTCCACCCTTCGTTGGTCAACCGATCGCCCGGGCGGCCACCGGGGTTCAGTTCCTTGACCGACAGTTCCTTATCGAGGGCAGCGCTGGAGTACGCACTGGGCGAGTACGTGCTCGGAGAAGGGTCGGGGGATTGCACAGTCACCAGCGGGCTCGGCTTCAGCGGACTCGTGTTCTGTCCGTAAGGAGGTCGTGCTCCGGCTGATCGGGGGGTCTTTTCATCGCTCAGTGAACCCGAGAAGATCGCCAGGGAGTCCACCGACGCGGCGGCCATAGGGGCGGGACTTTTGGCCATGGGATACGCGGATTGCGCCAAGGGCTCCACGCCCCGGTCCTGGAAGCTCAATCGATCTTCTTTGTCGCCGTTCTGGGCTTGTTTCATGATTTGCTTCTTCCGTTTGATCCACAGCAGAATCAGAATCAGGATGAGTCCTACGCCCAGAATCGCGCCAAGGGTAGCACCCACAATGGCTCCAATGTCGCTGCCGGATGAGCCTCCGCTGGCAGCGGCGCTGGATGAGGTGCTGGCGGAGGAGCTGCTGTTCGATGCAGTGGTAGCTGCCGTGTGGGTCATGGACCCGAGGATTTGCTGCTCTGACGTCTTCTCCCCATAAAACAGCTGCGTGGTATTGACCCAGCTGTTGGCCGTTTGGTTGAAGATGGCCAGTGAATCCGTGCCGCTTCCGCTGGAGATGACGACTAGTCCGTCTTCACCTTGCGCGAGCGAATAATTCTGTCTCGTCGTAGAAGAGGCCAAGGTGCTGGAATAAGTTGGGTAATCGCTCAGAGACACCTCTCTCCTTTCCTTGCTGGACGAAGAGCTGGCCGCCAACGTGGTTGCAGGGCTAGCCGGCGTGCCTCCTGGCTTGACCAGCTCTACGCTGGAGACTGTGTTGGGTGAAACCGCCATGTCAAAAGCCTCGAGGATCATGGTCCCATTCGTGCCATCGAGCAGCGCAGCCTGTACATCGCTAGAGAGTGCATTGGCCAGGGTTATGTTGGAATCATACCAACCACTGGTCGGGTTAAACAGATGAACGCCCTTGGGGGTAGTCGTGCCGCCTACCAGGACTGCTTCGCTATCGCTCCAGGGCAGTAATACAGGCAGCCAGGCCGGAGATGCATTCGTGGCCGTGTAGGAGTCTAGGAGGTAGGGAGCCATGGCGTGCGCGACAAAGGTATCTGACGAGGCAACGGCTTCGTAATCGGTATGGCCGCCGTATACCAGAATGCTGGAAGAATTAGAAAGATAGACCGCCTGGTGTCGAGTTCGATTGGCCAGGTCTCCGTGAGGAAAAGAGGTCCAGCTCCCGTCTTGAAAGGAATAACGCTGTAGGCCTGATAGATCGGAGCCGGAACCGGAACCGCCCACCACGTACAGCGCATGCTTGTCTTCATCCCCATCAATCCCACCCGTGACACACGCCGCATTGGAGACCGGCTCTCCCATGGTTAAGTCGGCCCATGTCGCATTGCGTTCGAGGGCGAGCGAGACAAATCCAAGGGCAGAATAGGCGTAAAGAGTGTTGTTATAGATGACAGAGCAATGGCCCTCCAAGTCCACAGGGGGCTTCGGAGCCAGCATAGCGAGCAAATGAGTGTACGGCAAGAAGTGAGGATGTATTCTTCGAATTTACCAGCCGAAGAAGGTGAAAGAATGACCAGCCGTCCTAGGTCAGCACGCAGGCGCAGGGACGAGGACGGAGACGATTTGGGGGAGGGGAAGACTGCCGGAGCACTATCGCATGGTCGAGGGAATGGCGGGTGATCGTCTCGGACGAAGTGTACTGGAGAAGCCGGCGCAGACGGTCGCGATCGCTAGTTTGCGTCCCAGCTAGGTGGATGACGGTTGGTGTGAGGAGATGCGCGCACACGGGACCTGGGAAGTTGAGGACGAGACGGAGCAGAAGAGCACAAACGAATGGCAACCTAGCAGCGCGTGGGTCAATGAGCCAAACGGCGCTGTCAATTTTCAGGGGCGAAAAGTAAAGCCGGATGCACGATATCAAATCGGCAGAGGTGAAGGAACGTAAGCGACGGGGAGGGTCGAGGGAGGGGGGATAGCGAGACAGCAACGAACGAAAGAAGGGAAAGGAACAGGTCAGGAAGCCAGCAGGGAGCAGCAGCAAAGGACGGAGGGAGGGGAGGAGAGAGGAGAGGAGAGGAGGGAACAGCCAAGATCAGGAGAGGGAGGCTAGGGAGAGCGAGTGTGTGGGAAAGAGAGTAGGACTCCATAGAGAGAGTGTCTGGGCGAACAGTGGAGGATGAAACGCCGGCGGGCAAGCTTAGACCAATACTAGCCTGCGTGCAGAGCAACTTACCGGTGGAGCTGCAGCATGCATTCAGAATGTGGACTGCCAGGTCCCGGTCGGAGTATACACTGATGGTGCTATTGGACGTGTCAGAAGATATCTCCAGCACGAGTGACCAGCACGTTCTGGTGGTGGAGGAGGAAGTGGTGGTGGTGGGCGCGGCGTGTTGAACGAGCGATGAGAACGAGGAGTCAACAAAGTCGCCTCAAAAAAAAGGAGGAAGAGGGCCAGGAGAGCCACAAGGAGCAAAGAAGGACGGAAGGGCTAAGGTCCAGGGGAGTGTCTGGCTGACGAGATGCAGCAGAAGACGTTAATTGAGTTGGAGATGATGCTGTGAGGAGGAGAGGTTGGGATAAAAACAGAGGGGGGGGGGGGAATCCCTTGGGGTTCTTTTCCTTCCTCTTCCTGTGTGGTTCCTGCATTAAGAACTGCATGATACACATTCCTGCAAGGACACACTCTCGCTTTTACTCCCTCACTCAATTGTTTGACAATGGCTAAACTACACACTTTCTACAACTCCCCGAGTACAGTCAGTCTACACGGTGGCCCCCCAAGTTCTCATTCAGGGGGTTGGAGAAAGTGATGAGAACCAGCCGATCGCAATGGCCTCAAATATGAAGCCAGAAAGGCCATTGATGGACTCACCACCTCGGATTTGTTCTGGGGGTAGAATCAGAGAATGAGATGTCTCCTCGGACTGATCTGTATCCAACGACAATCGATTGTGTTGTGACCTCAGGTGAGGTTTTTTCTCTTTTCTGCTCTTGTGTTTGTTTTACCACTTTTTTCCTTTTGAAGGAGTGGGGGCGGCTAGTCAGGAACCGGTGCTGCACGAACAGGGATGACGGGCAGATTAATCTCCATCTGTTATTGAATTGAATTGATGTCTCGGATGATTTCTACGCAGTAACGAAGTAATTCTCGGTGGTGATCGTTCTATCTCTCACCTAATATCCTCCTCCATCAAGCCCTCAACCTACAACTCGGTCGCAACACATGTATCTCCCTCAGGGTCTGTGCCTCAGAACATCGGCTTATCTTATCTATTTATAGAGAGTATTTATAGAGAAAGTAGAAAACCGTTTCAGCCAGACTTTGACCCACTCACCACCTCCAGCCTGACGTAATTTGCCAATGAGAAGTTGAAGGGGGGGGGGGGCTGCCTCAGGACACGAGGGACATGGCTTATAAATTAAGTACTTAGCATAACTGATCAACATCAACCCACTACACAATTAATCATGTACATATCCAGTTTCATATATAACTAACTAGTAGTACCCCATACTTACTCTCCTGCCTCACACCCTACTCGGCCACCCGCAATACTTTTCCCTCACTCCCCGCAGCTCCTAACATCCACCCCCCCCCCCCCCGCCAACCCTCCCTACCCCCAGATTCTCACATCATCCAAATCACCAGTCTTACACGCCTCATCCAGCCAGTTCCCCGTCACATTCCGTACCGTACTCCCCTTACCAAACTCCAGAATCGACCCTCCGTCCACCGCATCAGCATCAAACGGCACCCACCCCACCGTCTCCGCCACCGAGTTGGCATCCTTCAGAAACGCCAGGAAGTGGTCCTGCATCGCTTCGGATGTGCGGACCTCGAGGTCCGGAATCTCGCCGACCTGCTTCATGTATGTCCCAAAAATCATGAGGAGGTCGGAGGAGTGGTAGGCGCCGAGCCACGGGGTCGGCGAAATGTTGGTAAAGTTCCCTGAGTGCGTCAGTAGAGTACATACCTATCTATTCATGTGACGAGAATGAGTGGTCGGAGTTGGTCCCGCAAGACAGTGGCAGCAGACTTACCTGCCCAGAAATATCGATACGTATCCAGTTCCAGCGCCTTCCGCAGCGCTGCATCCGATACCGCGGCGCAGTTCCATTCCATTTGCGTGATGGCCGTCGCTGTCAGGTTCGTGCTGGACATTTCACGGTCCACATCAGAGCGAATGGCTGGCCCTCGGGCGACTTTCCCAGAAAGATAGCGCTGGGTCTCGTTGGCGAAGATGTACTTCTCATCCGCTAGAAATCGATGGCGTGTTAGCCGAAGGAGGAGGCGAGGGAGAACAAGAAAGACTCACGAATGTAGTTGCTGAATGCAATCGACGGGGAAGCGTTGTAGCGGTTTATGAACTCCGAAATCTGCACCCAGGAGATTTGACGCATGCACTCCAGCTCGGCCTGAGCATCGGTGCCGTAGTTGCAGCCCAGAGCTTTAGCGACGATGTCAAAATCTTGGTAAACGTCGTCGGTGGCGGTGAGGTCGATCGTGACGGACGGCGGCTGGGAAATGATGCCAAACTTGGCGGCTAAGGGGTCATCAGGAAAGGCGAGGGTGTACAGATGGGTTAGGGCTGCGCCTTGGGATTGGCCCCATAGCTGTGGTGAGGGTGGTGTGAGACTGGAAGCGGTGGAACGATATAACTACGGTAACTGAAGGGGCCAGCTGACCATGATGTTATCCTTGTTTCCTCCGAAGGATTCAATGTTCTCATAGACCCATTCGACCGCAGCACGCACGTCGAGTAAGGTCAGTGATGTTTCATCCAGAGCTCGAGATTTGGGATCTGGCAGAGGTTAGCGTCATTCATCGAGTTTCCTTCTCGGGCTGGACCAACTCCCGAATATGTTGACTCTGTAGTTCATTGTGACCACTATATGCTCTTGAGAACGCGAGACCCACTGGGGGGGCAGCTGAGAGGGGATCGCAATGCCGCCAGTCACACCGCCACCGCCAGTCACAAAAAGTGCTACAGGGAGGTTAGAATTGCGGTCTGCTGATGCTGGAGTCCAGATTCCTAGGGAAAGGCAGTCTTCTGCTGTCGACCAGGCGGTCGAGCCCTGGATGCGCGACTCCCCGAGATTGTAGAGCAATGCGGTTGGCGAATACTCGGTCCAGATGCTGTCGGAGCTGGAGACATACTGCGGGCAAGCTGGACCATATCTAGTCGAATCAATTTTGCGAGTGGTCTTCTTCAATTTCTGAGGGGGTGCCCAACGAAGATCTCCTACAGGTGGCTGGGTGGACTCAGTCACCCTCTACCTCAATCCACAGGGGCTGACCATACCTGAGCATAAGGAACAAGCAAGAATTGGCGCACGTCGGGATAAGTATCATTCAGCATGCCAATGAAAGTCCCCGTCTGGGTCTCAACCGTGAGATTGCTCCAATTCGACAGAGTTCGGGGCTGCTCCCATGTCAGGTTCGCATAGTAGGCAGGCTCTGACTCGGCGCAGGCAGTGGCTGCCAGAGCTAGGACGGTATAAGAGGTCAGAAGCTTCATGGCAACAGTGAAGACCCAAGGGTTCTGGTATGCAGTCGTCAAAGAAGGACGGACAGACACGAGAGAAAGAATCGAGAGGCACCGCCTGTCAATTTATGTGCAAGAGGTGCGACCCCTCACTTGCAGAGCCGAAGCACGATCGAGCAATGGCTTTGAAGAACAAAGCATTGGCATACCCAGCCCGTCATGCCCGAGGGGCATAAAGAAATCCATACGGTCAGGGTGCTGCGATAGGCTCGGGTAAATCTACAGCCTTAGTAAAGTCGCTAGCAACTTCTTCGTTGCCTTCATTGGATAGGCGTGTCCCCGAAAAGCTGTGGGGGGGTGGGAAGTGGTGGTGTGGGGAGTTGAAAAGAGGAGAAGAGGAAGTCGAGGGGAAATGGAGATTCCCCCGCAATTGTAGCTTGGCGAGTATGATTGATTCTCTCCGAGGACCGCAACTTGGAATAACTTAGGAGCAAACAGACTAGAAGAAATTAAATGAATATAGTGTGTGAATTATCTCAAGTATCACCAGCAGCTTCGAAGCAGGCTGGCTGACTTGAGGCATTATATGGTCAGATCAAAATAATGCTTGAGAGAGATACTATGCTTATACCGCACCCATCAGGCCATAGACAGGTAGCTTGACATGACTTCTTAGTGGCTGTATCCTTTCCCCAGCCAAGGCACTGTATGGTCTGAGACTCGGTCCCTCCACTCCAGGTAGACAGGTGTGTGTATCAAAGAACATAAAAAGGAAGCAAGCATCAATAACTGTTGAACAGATGGATCAAACACAAATGTCTCCGGTCGCTCTCAGAGGCGGCATGATGGTATGATGAAGATGTCGTAGAATCAAAAGAACAAAGCCAAGAGGAAAAAATAAAGGTATAGTAAAGGAGATTGTTGCCATGCAAACATCAACAAGAAATTGAACAAGGTCCTCTCATGGTTCGATTCGACCACAAACACCCTTTCGTAGATCGATCATGCCGGACGCCGTCGCCATGCTTTCCCAAAAAAATAAATGCTTATGTATAACTTAGAATGAAAAAAACTCCTTTCACTAAATATGATCCCCAATATTTTCTCCAACAGCTCGCACGACAAGATGAACATCAAGGTCTACTTGACTCCCCGTTCGACGCGCTGGGCTGGGCAGGCGTAGCCTACTTGGGTGCCGCGCTCAGCTTGTGATACATCTGTTGAAGCTTGTTACCTCCTGCGTCTTTGTTCGGCCAGTAGTGAACAGCAACAAATTGCCTAGAAAACTGGGTTAGCATCGAGGCAACAAATTCGCCAGCTATGGACTTACCACAAACGAGTCTCAAGACTAGCCATTCCATCCCCTTGGATGTTTTGGCCAATGAATTCGCCAATCTTCCCAAGAAGGCGCCTCAGCTCCAGAGCACGCTCCACTTTGTCCGGGTAATTCTCCTTGGTGACCGCCGACACCTTTCTCAGATCCTCACGGATGGGCTTGAAGAACTTATACTCTATGCCCTCTTTGCCTGCAGAATGGCCATTTTCATTGGGTTTACGACGACGGATATCCTCGCTGGAAGCGTCCGACGTGCGGTGACGGGCTCGGTCTCCATCTTGAGCGGAACGCTGACGCGAATCATGGCTAGGGGTATGGTGCCTTTCCATGCTGTCTCTAGCATGGGTTTTAGAGCGATGCCTGGACCGTTCCATTTCGCGGTGCCCCTTGCGAGAGCTTGATGGTGCAGGAGATGCTGAGACACTGTTGCTGGCCTGGGCGCGTGAGCCTTTGCGCCCTGGGCGATGGCTCTCGACGGCTCGTCTTGCACTCATACTCAAGCCATTCGTCGACCGGTCTCTAAGGACGGAGAGAAGGTAGTCCGCGCGACGCACGAGATGAACCGCCCCCGGTGACTTTGTCGTCTTGTCTTCCGCATTCAAGCGCTCGTTCTTGCGCTCGACACGGTGCTCCTCGAGGAAAAATTTGTCCCCAAGTTCCAGGTCGGGGTCGTCCCGGATCTGTGCCCAAGCACCGTAGCCATGGCGTGCGATACCTACGCACAACATGCCATCTTCCCGTGCCCCCCATGAGCAAGTGTAATCCGGAGCCTTCGTGGCGTCTGGAACACGGAAATTGTGGAAGCCGGACACCTGGGCCAGGGCCTCTTTCAAAACACGCATCTCGGTCGGACGCTCAACGATAGTGTACGCATTGAGCCGCTTGACTCCATGCAGATCGAACAACACGGCTTTCTTCTCTTTTTTGGTCGGGATACGGCCAGAATTCTCAAGAGCTTCCAGTTTCTGCATGTCCTCCTTGACCAAAGCCGCGGCTTTGTCGGTTATCTCACGGAGAGCAGATTTAACAGTTTCTCGGTCACGGTCAAGTAACCGCGCCTCACGGATGATATCCTCTTCGCGGTCGGCAAGATCACCGTATCGGAGGAATGCTCGAAGAAGATGGCGATACTCTTTCTCCACAAGGGGACGTTTGGGGTCTGATTGAGCCATTGAGTCTGAATCATCATCATTGTCCATGCTGACTTGTGCTCGAGCTTGCCTCTTAGCTTTGCGCTCTTCACGTGAATCTCGAATGTCACCGGGAACATTACGCTTGCGCGGTCGGTTCTGCTCGATGACTTCAGCCAGATAACGCTCGTCCGCCTTCTTCTTCTCTTCAGCTTTGATCTCCTCGAGCTGATCTTTGGGAATGATATCGTCCCAGCTAAGGTCATCAACCTTGATATCAACGTAATCAAAAGCCTTGAGGAACTCTTCACCACCGTCAGCTTGGATGCCCTCTGCTTGTTCGGTCTGGTGCAGCTCGGCGTTTGCTAGAACCGAGTCAATGTCTAATTGCTCTAGTTTCGCTTGATTGCCGGTCTGTTCAAACATCTTCTGACCACGGCGCTTGAGAATGCGCGAAATGTCGTCCGTAGAGCTGGGTTCAGCGATGGAGATTCCACTGCGGGCCATCTTGTTCTGGATTTCGGATGCTTCCTTGTCGGTCACACCACGCTGGATAGTGATAAACTCGAGGAGAAGCTTGTTCCTCGCTCGTTCAATGACTTCTTCTTCCACAGTATCCTTGGAAACCAACCGATACACACTCACTGGCCTTGTTTGACCAATTCGATGCGCTCTTGCCATAGCCTGTAGATCGGCCTGGGGATTCCAATCAGAGTCGAAGAGAACAACAGTATCTGCAGTCATCAAATTAATCCCGAGACCACCAGCTCGAGTGGAAAGAATGAAAGCAAAATCGTTACTGCCAGGCGCGTTGTAGTGCTCTATGGCCAGACGTCGCGCAGCAGCTGGAATGGTTCCATCGAGACGTTGATATGTGTATCCGCGATAATCCATATAGTCACCAAGGATGTCCAGCATCTTGACCATCTGGCTGAAAATCAGGACGCGGTGACCATCGCGTTTGAGCTTGGCCAAGAGCTGATCCAAAAGCATCATTTTACCACTGCTGGTAATCATGGCCCTTAGTACATCCTCCCGACGAGCACTGCCCTCCAGAAGTCTGGCTTCTGCATTCGGGAACATGAAAGGATGATTACTCGCTTTTTTCAACTCCATCATGATGTTCAGGAGCGATTGTTTCTGACCCCGAGCACCGTCATTGAGTGCAGCGTAATTCTTGGTGAGGATGTTTTTGTAGTATTCCAGTTGAATGTCTGATAGCTCCACCCGAATGATCTTCTCGGTCTTGGGAGGAAGATCTGACTCAACCTTCGACTTGGTTCGCCGCAACATGAACGGCTGAATGGCTTTTGTCAGTTCGGCCAACTTGTGTGAAGCGGCATCACAATTCAAGTCCATGTCAGCGTCAATTTCTACCAGGCCTGGATTGAGAAAGTCCAATAGCGCTGAGAGCTCGGCCAGGTTATTCTGAATGGGCGTACCCGTGATCAGAAGCCGAGCAGGAGATCTAAACTCCAGCAGCTTCAGGTAAAGCTGCGACTCACGGTTCTTTAACCGGTGAGCCTCGTCGATAGCCATAAACTGCCACTTGAACTGGCTCAGAAAGCCCGAATCTAATAGAACGTATTCATAGGTCGTCAACAGGACGTTGAACTTCGGTCGCTTAGGATTCCCATCAACCATGAGCTCATGCTCCCTCAATACGGTTCGTGCAGCTTCGTTGCCGTTATAGACGACGTAGTTCAGATCGGGAGTCCAGTAATCAAAAGTATCGGCCCAAGATGGCATGGTAGAGAGAGGGACAACGACAATGAAGGGGCCCTGTTGATGCCGTACATGGCGCAACCAATTGATGAAAGAGACAGTCTGCACAGTCTTTCCAAGACCCATCTCATCGGCAAGCACGACATTGCGGTTCTTCACCCAGTTGAAGGCCATGAAGTTGACGCCCTTGACCTGGAACTCCTTCAATTGACCATTTTGCAGGAAGGTCGGTGTGCCTTTGATGGTTTCGAATGGCTTGCGCGTGGCTGGGTTCGTTTCCGACTTGTCAGAGATCGGTGGGCGAGAGGAGCGATCTAGGAAACGGTCTATCTCGCGTTGAGCGATGTTACTGACTAAGTCTTCGTCCTCCCATGTACAAGAGTCGTAGAAGAGGCGTTTCCATTTCACGAGGTACTCCGTTCCCTCCTCGCCTTCGCGCATACCAATGACTCGTTCAACCTGTTTGTAGTCCTCGATAGCATCTACATCCCGTTCTCGGTCGAGGTTCCACTTCTCCCGATCCTCAGGAGCGACATCCTCGTCATTCCGTAGGCGGATGTCTTCAGAGAGAACTTTTCGAATGTAGTTGTCGAGACGGCGGGTACTACGGCAATTGGCGAGGCCTTCTGTGGTTTCCCATGACGCATGGTAATGAGATTTCCCTTGCCATTTAATGTAGAATTCAAAGTCATGACGGCCGAGGTCGAGGCTACTTGCATCCACGCCCTCTCTGAGGCGATGATTGAGCACGACGTCGACTGCTGGGCGGTCGTCCTCCACTGTGTTCACCCAGTAATTATCCACCATCACTTCGTCCGGGTCTTCCTCAAACATGGAGTCATCTTCGTCCTCGTTGTAATTAGAGACCCGGGACGCGTTTCTTGTGGAGAAGCGGACCTCGGGCTGAGAAGGCAGGTTGTTCGAGGATGACTGGTAAAGCTTCCGTCGCCTTGCCCTGTTTGTACGAGCCCGACTACCGCCGTATTCATCACTATCCGAATCTTCAGAATAAGAAGATTGGGTTGCAGACCGGGAGGGGCGCTTGGAGGGAGGTTGTGAGACAACAGTACGTCGACGCTTTGAGCGAGGTGCTACTGCATCGGACTCGGACTCGGAGGGAGAGTCGACTACTTGACGCGTTGTGCGTGCTCTAGTACTTCGACGGAGGCCATATAGATCGGGGTTCTGGCGCATGTAGTCGGATTCGTTGACCGAGGGCGACTCACGCTGGTGGCCGGGCTTGTTTTCCGACGATGAAGAATTTTCGTCGCTGGAATGGCTACTCTCGTTCACGTCGTTCTCGGTCTCAGAAGCGTCCTCATCCCCCTCCGCGTCAGGAGAGCCGGCATCGTAGGACTCATCGGCGGCATCTGCTTCGGGAGAAGAGGAATCGCGTTCGGCATGGTTCACATAGGCATCAGATGCGTTGCTTCCACTGTCGCTGATGGCTAGGCCATCCCTCATGATGGTGTCATTGGGAGTAGACGAGGCTGCATAGCCATTTACCAAGCCCATTGTTGCGGAGGGGTCGGATATCGATGGGATCACCATGCTAGCAGCTATTGAGGATAATACGCATCAGCATTGAAGCTCAGTACAAGGCCAAGGAGGGATGAAAGTAACAGTGCCATATGAATCGGAGATACGCGACGCAGATTCCAGCCAAATTGAGTCGATTTGATGGGGGAACAACGTAGGAGACGAGTATATGATGGAAGGACATGTTTTTGATGACGGATTGGATGAAACGCGACGCAGTGTGTTGTGAAACGATGGGAACAGGAGAGGGGCAAATGCAAGTCAAATGCGTGAATATACGAGGAAAACCACCCAGAAATTGAGCTAAAAGGTCACAATAACCGTCTCACTCGACTACATCGTGGTATCATACAGATTCACCGGTGGGTCGAGGTCGTGGAGAAGTACTGCAGCCGGCAGCGCCAGAGCACTGCTGCAAGGCAGGAAAAAGAGAACAAACGACTTACAGTCCATAGCTTGGTGACCCCGAATTAGGGGAAACTGAAGGGATAAATGGTGAAAACGTTTAAGGAAAAAGGTGGGGGTGGGAGAAGGATGAAGTGGTGGAGGCAGCAGAGGGACGATGGGAGGCCGGCTGAGAAACTGATGAGGGAGTAGGAAGAGAGTTGTACGTCGGCGGGAGGAGGACGAGTCGCTGTGAAGGGATTGGCTGAAGCGCCTGAGCCTTCAGGCTGCAACTACCCACCAATCTCAAACCAGCTTAGCGCGCCACAAGCGAGACCCCAACAGGGATAGCGGGGATGCTTAGTCACATGTATTCGGACCCGGGTTAACCTGGCCTCCGAGTAAGGCCTGGCGGTAGAACCCCTCCAACCAATCACCGAGACAGGAAATAATGCAGAAGCAGGTTTCAGCCTGAGGCCGCCACGGCTGCCCACAATGCCGGGCAAGTTTTCTCGCCCAGAGCCCCTCTTCGTCGCGCATCTCCAGACAACGTTCCCTCCTCGCTCTCTTGCCTGGTGCTCTCTGCGCGGATATTCGGCGTTTTCCGTTCGGCCAGGACAACTGTTGCATCATTTTCTGTTGACACTCTTCGAAATCCTGCTTGACGTCGACGTTCCCGTCTTCTGACTGCTGCATCCCACTTCTTTCATACTGACCAGCGTGCTGAATTGGTTCTGAATCAGGCACCATGTCCGACAAGCTTACCAGGTAGGCTCTCCCCGGCGAGTTCGTCCTCTTACGCCTCAGAATTTGATCAAACTAACCAGTCTTCGCGAATAGAGTTGCTATTGTCAACAGTGACAAGGTAAGATTTCAAGTACCCCGCAGCATGCAAGAAATGCTGCGCCTGTCGCATCTATAACAACAACTGACACGCATCGCTTCACTCGTGACAGTGCAAACCCAAGGTATGTCAAGATCTCAATCTGTCGATGGCGGCCGCATCATCATTTACTAACAGTTCATTTTCCCTCTCTAGAAATGTCGCCAGGAATGTAAGAAGTCTTGCCCCGTCGTCCGTACGGGCAAGCTCTGTATCGAAGTCACCCCCGAGTCCAAGATCGCCTTCATCTCCGAGCGCCTCTGTATCGGTTGCGGTATCTGTCCCAAGAAATGTCCCTTCGGTGCTATTCATATTATCAACCTGCCCACGAACTTGGAGACCGAGGTCACCCACCGTTACTCTGCCAACAGCTTCAAGCTTCACCGTCTTCCCATGCCCCGTCCCGGTCAGGTCCTTGGTCTCGTCGGTACCAACGGTATTGGAAAGAGTACGGCCTTGAAGATTCTCAGCGGAAAATTGAAGCCCAACCTCGGTCGTTACGACAACCCTCCCGACTGGGAAGAGATCCTCAAGTATTTCCGTGGTTCTGAGCTCCAGAGTACGTCAAACCCGAAGCAAGGTGGGAGATATGGAGCCATATTCGCTAAAATCTTGCAGACTACTTCACCAAGGTCCTGGAAGACAACCTGAAGGCTGTTGTTAAGCCTCAGTATGTTGACCAGATCCCCAGAGCCGTCAAGGGTCCCGTCCAAAACGTTGGTGCTCTCATTCAGGCCCGTTCTCAACTGGATAACCTGGATCACATTCTGGATACTCTAGGTATGATTACGCCGATCGTCCCTGCTATATTTGGTGCTAACCGAACATCTAGAACTGAGACAGGTTCGTGACCGTGACATTGGCCATCTGTCCGGTGGAGAGCTTCAGCGTTTCGCCATTGGTCTGGTCTGTGTCCAGAAGGCTGATGTGTAAGGATTACCTGGGTATTCAGACTACAACGAGCGCTGACATCTCTGTAGCTACATGTTTGACGAGCCTTCGTCCTACCTCGATGTCAAGCAGCGTCTGGCCGCTGCCCGCACCATCAGAGAGCTTCTCCGCCCAGATGACTACGTCATTGTTGTCGAGCACGATTTGTCCGTGCTTGACTATCTTTCCGACTTTGTTTGCGTTCTGTACGGAAGACCTGCCGCCTATGGTGTCGTTACTTTGCCTTCTTCGGTCCGTGAAGGTATCAACATCTTCTTGGATGGTCACATTCCCACCGAGAACCTTCGGTTCCGTGACGAGTCTCTCACTTTCCGTCTCGCTGAATCCGGTGATGACTTCATGGTCGATAAGGCTCGTGCTTTCAAGTACCCGACCATGAAGAAGACTCTTGGCAACTTCCACCTTAAGATCGACGCCGGTGACTTCACCGACTCTGAAATCATCGTCATGATGGGAGAGAACGGAACTGGAAAGACCACTTTCTGTAGAATGCTTGCTGGTGTTGAGAAGCCCGACAACGGCATCACCATTCCCCGCTTGAACATCAGCATGAAGCCCCAAAAGATCACTCCCAAGTTCCAGGGTACCGTCCGTCAGCTGTTCTTCAAGCGTATCAAGGCCGCTTTCTTGTCGCCCCAGTTCCAGACCGATGTCTACAAGCCCCTCAAGATCGACGACTTCATCGACCAGGAAGTTCAGAACCTGTCCGGTGGTGAATTGCAGCGTGTCGCCATTGTCCTGGCTTTGGGAATGCCCGCCGACATCTACCTCATTGACGAGCCCAGTGCTTACCTTGATTCCGAGCAGCGTATCGTGGCTGCCAGAGTCATCAAGCGTTTCATCATGCACACGAAGAAGACCGCTTTCATCGTCGAGCACGATTTCATCATGGCCACTTACCTGGCCGATCGTGTCATTGTCTTTGACGGAAAGCCGTCTATCGATGCGCACGCCAACGCCCCCGAGTCCCTTGTCACTGGTTGCAACACCTTCTTGAAGAATTTGGACGTTACCTTCCGTCGTGACCCCAACAGCTACCGTCCCCGTATCAACAAGCACCAGAGTCAGATGGACCAGGAGCAGAAGCTCCAGGGCAACTACGTAAGTTTTATCTTGTGTCACGTCAATCAGCTTTGCACTAACCTTGCCTCCAGTTCTTCTTGGAAGAAGAACAGTGAAATCGCCGTTCCTGGCAACCATGACCGCGTGCCTCGCCATGACGACGGCCGCGATTCCGACCGCCGGCGCCGCCACCGACGTCGCCGGCACCGGAGGAGGTACCTTCGACTAGTGGCGTTTTTCGGCGTTACCAAGGCCTCTGCGGCTCTTGGGCGGCGCGCCTGCCATTGCGGTGGTCGCCGGCCCAGTGAGGGCAGTGGAGATTTGGATGTGGAGGAGGATGAAGATGACGAGGAAGACGACTTGCTCAACTATCATCTGTAGCGGTGGCTGGCTTTTGTAACCCACATTGCTCCAGTTGTAGTAAGCACTCAGCCAACTTCCGCTGATACTGTCGCCTTCCGGTTCCCTTCCACTCCTCTATCCTCCATTATCCATTTATCCCACCCCCAAAGCTCGCAAACAGGCCGGCATTTGTCCTTCATTTCCCCCCCGCGCGATGCTACGAAGCTAGAACGAAGAGAAACGCGAGAAGCAGCACCTATATTAAGTCTCGTCAAGAGAGTTTTTCGATATAGAGTGGACTCCTTATAAATGGTTTTTGGTATTGGGGGAGTGGGCTGGGCGTCAGAGTCATGTCGGAGTTCTTTCTTTGCTTTGCTATTCGTTCTGTCAAAAGTTTATTCCTTTAACTTCTTGCTTCATCATGAATATACTCTTGTTACTTCAATGTACGCATGGTATGCAATGGGCTGTATTGACGACGAGGCTTGCGTCGATTGAATGGTTCCAGCAGCTGATCCTTTTTGGTCAAGTCTGTGAGTGTAGATGTTTTTGTGTCGGACGTAGCCAGTGTTCATATAGGTAGACCTAGCATATATTCCTTCTAATCGTGCACTGTCCAGAGCAACTAGTACTTGATTCGCCCGATTTTCGCGGTATAAGAGGAAGTTCCTCATGAACATAGCTAGCTTCTCTGTGTGGTGGTGGGGTTGTGTGTGGGCTTCCGCAATGTATCTAGGCCGGAGATATATCGTCTGCGCTTGCACGGCAAGTTGTTCACCCTGTCCGCATGAAGCCCAATACTCATACTTTATCGCATGCCTTATTGACTATCATGATTCATACCTTTAGAACCTTGTACAGTGATTGATTGATAGGTCCGACATGAATGGAATAATGAGATAGGAAGGTGTTATATACACACACTACACAATACAAGGTTCCAGAACAGAAGGGCCAGTATCACTGACAATCAGAGGAAGAGAAGAACATGAATTGGACCCCCTTTTTTTTTCTTTTGGCTCCTATCTAAGCTTTGCAAAGGGAAAGAGAGGTAGAAAAAATAAAGAGGAATTAAATCCCGCCAGCAGGCCGAGAAAGCCTTTACAGCGACATGACCAGCTCGACTAATCCTCTTCAATCTCACCCTCCTCGCTACCGGAATGCACCGCCTTTTCTTCCTTCTTCGCTTCCTCCGCTACGGCTGCAGCAGGGCCTGGTGCGGCCGAAGCAGTACCAGCAGCGGTGGCGGCGCTGGCACCAGCACTAGCACCGGCACCGGCGGCGACGGGAGTTCGTTCGCGACGGTCTCTGCGGGGGGCTCCTCGGCTGCGATCGCGCTCTCGACTATCCCGTCGGTACCGCTTGGTGGAGCGACTAGCTACGCTCTCCGCGTCACTGTCCCGTCTACGTCTCCGGTCGGTGCTGGCGATGCTCTTGGTGTCGGCGCCGTAGTCGAGTTCGTCTCGGCTGCCACGGGGGTCGCCGCGGGTGCGGTAGAGGCGTTCGCGTTCTTCCTCGCGGTCACGGCGCTCGCGGTCGTAGTGGCTCAGGGAGCGGGCGCTGCGTTCACGGTCCCAGTCGCGCTCGCGGTCACGCTCACGGTCCCGATCCCGTTCGCGCTCGCGGTAGCGTTCGCGGTCTCGATCCCTGTCTTCGCGCCGCTCGCGCACGGGAGATAGGCCGCTGACTTTACGGTAGGAGCGTTCGCGATCGGCCTGGGCTTTACGGCGGTCGGCCTCATAGGCGTCGGGCTCCGGGGTCCGGCTCATGCGGCTGGATGCTCCTCGTCGCTCGCCACGATAGGAGAGACCGCTGCGGTGGTCGCGGTCGCGGTCGCGCTCACGGTCACGATCCCGATCGTGGTCACGACGACTGCCGCCACGGTCACGATCGCGGGCCTCCCGTTCTCTTTCAGCGTCTTCTTCCTTCTCCTTTAAGCGCCGGATGACCTTGTCGAAGGCTGCCTGGCGGAGATCATCGGTCTCCAGTGCCTTGTATTCCTCGTATCTCTCGATCCGCGGTCGGACTTGGTCCCATGTATCACTGGCTCGGACAGGAGGTTCCAGACGCTTGATGCGCGACCGCAGGGCGTCAATTGCACGTCGTTGATGCCGATCGGCGGCGTGTTTCTCCTCTTCGTTGCGTCGGATAGCTTTTTCTTGAATGCGCTGGAATATCAACTGCAGAGTCTCAGGATCGATGTTGGCCGTGCGGCGATCGGCGGACACGAATGCGTTGAACTCTTCCAATGTGGTCTTGGGCGTGATTTCGAAGCGTTTGTCCTAGGGGAAATAACTGGTGAGTGATTGTTGTAGGGCGAAAGGTGGGGGCTTTCTCACATCAAGAACGTCCAAGACATCGTTACGTGGTCCGCGCAGCGACCGCTCCTCCTCCTCAACCACATCCCAGAACAGATCTATCGGGGACGAACCAGAGTTTCCCAACATACCAAGATAACGGGGGTCCTCGTTGATCAGAGGATATATGTTCATCCATTTGCTGCCGGCTTTAATCTTACCCTGTGACCTCAGCTCCTTAAGGAGCTCAATGTACTGTTCACGAGCGTGACGTTCTTTTCTGGCCTTCGCGGCTTTCTGCTGCTGACGAGCATCGTTGAAAGCTCGCTCTAGCGCCTTGATGTGATTCTCAAAAGCAGTCAAGATGTCAGACTTGCTGAGGGTCTTGAACTTATCGTCGCTCTGAACTCTGTCATTGGACTGGATGATCGCCTGTGCCTCTGACCAGCGTGTGTATGGCTCCAGGTTCAAGGATTTCAGGATGTTGACTAACTCGTCCATGGCAGCCTTGCGCTTGACCGCTTCCTGTTCAACGTGCTCCTTCTTGAGCTCAACGATATACTCCTCGAACAACTGGCGTCTCTCAGCCTCGTCGTCCGTAGATCTGAAGATAGTCTCGCCCTCAATAATCGGTCGAATGGTCTTCCACCGACTGTAGTGCTTGATTTCAGGATGACGCTTCAGCATGGTATTGAAATCTGCTCTGAGCTTAGCGAATCTCTCTTTCGCTCGATCCTTTTCCTGCATGCGAACCTCGACCGCATATTTCTCAAAGGCTGCCTTGCGGTCTCTGGGGTCTTTGAGGGCACGATACTGAGGATCTTTGATGGTCTCGCGCATGGTCTGCTCCCACGTCCAGTCAGGCTGCACATTGTGGCGTTTCAGCATCTTCATGAATGCACCTTCGGCTTCTTCCAGGGAGCTGTATTCCGGATCGGCCTGCTGGTTCCCCAAGGCCGGAGCCGCTGCAGGACCATTAGTGTCCATTGAATTATAGCCTCCTCGGCGGTCGCCATAGCCGCGGTCATAGTCGTCGCGTTCTCTCTGCTGGGGGTACGATGGGAACGAGCTGACTCCACCTGCAACAAATGTCGGGGCTCTGTTCATGAATCAGTCAGCACACCAGCCATAGATGAAACGACAAGAAATCTCGTGAAACTCACGCGACAGGGGGAGGCTGAGAAGGCTGCGCCTGTGCCAGAGCGTTCTTGTAAGCATCTGGAATTTCCCAGGTGCTCTGCTTGGTTTCAGTGTTGTACCAATATTTCCGTCCATTATCCGTCGTGTATTCCTTCCATGGTTGATTCGCCAACGCGCGCTAAAAGCACAATCGGACCAAGTCAGCCTCAGCTAGAAAGAAAAGGCATAGGAGAAAGATACGAACCTCAACCGGCGTCATCAGGTCCACAGGCTTCGTCCACTGGGTGGCTTTAGTCTGGACATTGTAGTAGTAGACTCGTCCCTCGGCGGTACGGGCCTCCTGCCACAGAGCGGGCGCGCCTCCTGGGGCATTCATGGGATTCATATTGCAAGTGCAGCAACACCCAGGATGAAGGGGTAATGGGAGTGGGATGAATGGAGGGCGAGAAAAAGCAGCGCGGAGCAAGTAGCGGCGTTGGTTCGCAGAAGCTCTCCCGGTTCCTGCACTAAGCGCTGTTTGTCTTGTTTGCACGGCTTCCCCCAAGGGTCATAACATGGAGTGTCTCTCCACTTGTCGGTCCCTGGCTTGCCATGCGACTCACTGGGTGATCATTTGTTTATGAGCCGCTGTCGATCTGTCGCGTGTCAATCTTCATACGTTCTATACCAGGCAGAGAATTATGCGATCATCGTCTCCTTGCTAGTATGCCGAGTCTCGACATCCCCGGGGAATTCCTCAGGCATGCTGTTCTAGATACAGTTGTCCCGCATGCTTCAGATGTAGACCTGGAGGCTGCTCTGACGTCTGCTCTGGAAGGAGGCGCCGATGATTTGACCTCTGTCCTCTCGTTTATCCCTCAACGTTCAGTTCTGTTCTTCGGTATGTTATGACCTATCGCCTAACTTGAGCTCTGTCTCTTACTCATATATAGCGGGATACAGATGAGTACTGCACCGTCCGCATCATCCTTCGACTCTCCAATTGTTCACCTGCAAGCCTAAAACAATATCTACCGCAAGTGGAGGTTGGCCTGGATGCATTCGCTATCGATCCAGCCGAGACCGTTGCAGAGAACCCGACTCCCACCCGGGATCTAATATTCTCAGGGGCCGTAAAGGCACAGGAGCCCCTCGTGGTGGTAAATGAGTTCGAGGGCGACTCAGGGGAAGGCAATCATGTCTATGTGATTTGGAGCATCGAAGCTTTTCTTAGTGAGCTTGCACGCTATTCAATATCGTTGAGCTGTACTGATTGCTATAGAACGCCCGCGTATACGCATCACGCATCCCTCCCTCCTTTTCATCGCCTCCGCCAACCTCAATTTAGCGAAGAATCAACAACAGATATCTCGAGGGGACGACTACCTCCCGCCATTGATACCAGCGTCGGCCAATATCCTTCAGCCCCTATCATCGGATAAATCCCTCTCTCTCAAAGACCCCTTCCTCCCTGCGTCTCGACTGTTGCGTGTCGTACCTGCAAAACAGACCGAAGACCCCATCTACCATATCCAACAACGTTCAGGGCATCCGATACGAGTGGTTCCAGCTGCGAGTGCCAGGATCCGATATGCTCGGCTTAACTCTTACAGCGGGCGACCAACCACTGTTGCCAGTTTGGATTTCGAGGTGACACCATTCCTCACGTGCGACGTGACGTTTGACAAAGCGGAACTCCGGCTGTCAGACGGGAGCATAGAGACACTTTCAGATGCGCCGGGGCTTGTTCCGCCTATCAAGTGCCTGCCACGAGATGATATAACTCTAGTGTATAAATTGACACCGGAAAGTGGGCAGAATCCTAGCCCATCCACGACTGTTATGGTCAGCGTTCTCGATATTTCCTTGGAGGCTGTGATCCACTTGTCGCATAATTGCAACCCACGGATTCTAATGCAATGGAGGGCCAATGTCGACTTTTCCATGCCGCTCAATCCCACCTTTGGTGCCCCTAGCCAGGCATTGCAGCGAAACAACCGGCCGGCTAGTCTTCCTATGAATCAAAGTCTGAACAGTACCATGACAGGAGGATCAGGGATCGACCGTAGCTCTGTCCGGGATAGAGCATATTCCTCGACAGATCTAGGGGTGTCAATCTCATTCACCGGCCCTCCCCGGGTGGAAGTTGGCAAACCATTTTCGTGGGGAGTCTTCATTGTAAACCGGTCGGCAACCGCGCGGAAATTCGCCATAATAGCCATCCCTCGCCGAAAGAGACATGATCCCCGAACTCATACGGCGCGCCCGTCATCCTCATCCGCTACTACTCGCAAGGATGCCCAGGTTGCAGAAGCTGTGACGGACGACAACATTGTACATGCGCTCCAGAAGAGTGTGGCTGGCCAAGAAGCCGAGCTTGTTTCCATGAGTACGGATGTTCGTGCTGGGTAAGTGAAATTCTGCCTCCACTAATTGTCTCTAATTGACGACTGATCTTGCAGACCACTTCTGCCGGGGACTTGCTTTGCGACCGAGCTGAAACTACTACCACTGGCGGTAGGTGCCCTTCGTTTGGAAGCCGTACGCTTGGTGGATATCAATACGAACGAAACGACGGATATCCGAGATCTCCCGGATATTCTCTCCTTTGAAAGGAACACGACTGCTTGAATGCCGCCTACGATGAAAATTTGTATAGATCTGATTGTTCTCATGCCTGAACGAGATGTAACGGCCACGAGAGGAAGACCTTTCGTATAGGTATTGATTAGATAATTCCGGAGCAACAATATCCCATATGGTGATATAACCGAGAAGAGTTAAAGTACTATACGGAATAAGTTAGTTAGTTCATGTTCTAGCTAGTCAGATAGTCATAAAGCGGCCAGAGGCACAGGGAGGAGAAGGGAGGGGGACTCAGGGAACTGAATGGGGGCTGAGGGGCAACTTTCAGCCCTAAAGCGGCAACGAAAGGCCTCTCCCGTCTGGTCTGCCGGGCGGAGAAGGACGGAAGATCACGCGAGTGGATGATTGATGATGACCTCGTTCTTGCATCTTCAACTGTTGAAAGCAACTTACCCTTCAATTCTTCTTCTTCTTCATCTTGCTGACTTGGCCTAATTTAATCGCTGGACGAAAGAGGTTTCATATCATTCTCATCATTCTCATCATCAACATCATCATCATCATCATATCTTCTTGCTAATCATCTCATACTTCATTCCAACTTTGCTGTGTCCACCACCTCCCTCAGGCTCTATTCTCCCCCCTTTGACCCCCTCCTCCCCCTCTCCTTATCCCTACATACTACGGAGTACTGCTGTTGTTGCCTGTGCACCCACCCGCAACCCTTCCGCAACTAAAAAAACTAATTATCATTTGCGTCATACCTTCGCCGTCTCCGCCAGCCCAGTCTTTCCTTGCCCTCGCCTTCGATTTTCTTCCATCTCGGAGGACCCCTACTCCCCCCCAGTACTGAACTGAATCTCTCTCCGTCATGTTTCCCACTGGACGTCGCAGCATTTTAGATGGACTCAATCGGCGGTACATCTACGGTCGGTTGGTATGTGCTAGATAGACACCCTCTCTCAATCTCTTTTTTATACAATTACTTCACATATCTTTACAACATTTACGACAGCTATTTTCTTTTTCGCTTTTTTTAATAGAATCTTTCTACGTCTACACGAAGAAAATCAATTATCCAGACTGGCGTTGCTCCCTTCACTAATTAATTACCAACAGCCACTGCTCCATACGATAATCTTTCTCATCGAGATGGCGGCGGCGACGCGGCTTGCCGCCAAGTTCAACTCCTACTATTCGGAGAAACCTAGTAAGGCTCCTTGAACGACCCTTGAGCGTGTTGCCAGTCGACTGACTGACCTCGTCGATAGTCCTTACTACTATGGTCACCAATGCGGTAAGAGCCTGCGAATCAGCATGACGTGCGGAGACGCTGTCGAGACAAACCACTGACTGCGATTGGTATTGTATAGATCCTGGGTGGAATCGCAGACACTGTTGCACAATTGATCACCGCTGTCAGAGCCGGCTCCGGACGCCGGTCGTCCCACGGTGGGGACTTCATCTCGATTGAGATCCATGACCTTGACAAAGAGAAACCGCCGGCCCTCGGGGAGCTGGGACATGCGAGACACGCGACTCCGGCATTCGACTTTGAGCGCCTCACTCGGTTCATGTCGTACGGTTTCTTCATGGCCCCGCTCCAGTTTCACTGGTTTGGCTTCTTGTCTCGTGCTTTTCCCCTCACCAAGAAGAACCCGAGCATCCCGGCGTTGAAGCGCGTTGCTTGCGACCAGCTCATTTTCGCTCCTTTCGGTACTAGAGATCCCTCGCACCAGGTCAAGTGACGCTACCTGTCTGGATTGCTAATCCAATTGTATAGGTTTGGCGTGCTTCTTCACGTTCATGACGGTCGCCGAAGGTGGCGGCAAGCGGGCATTGACGCGCAAATTCCAGGACGTCTACCTGCCTACCTTAAAGGCCAACTTTGTGCTCTGGCCAGCCGTCCAGATTCTCAATTTCCGTGTTGTCCCCATCCAGTTCCAGATTGTAAGTTCTCGTGGTGAATGCCTGGGGGCTTGGTGCGCGTTGCTAATAGGATGGTCTGCAGCCTTTTGTATCTTCTGTCGGTATTGCGTGGACGGCGTACCTGTCGTTGACCAACTCTTCGGAGGAGGAGTGAATTCAACAACTCACTCATCCAATCTTAGGCCGATCGTGACTTACGGAGGATGTTGCTCTTTCGGATATATTTGTTTCAACAGGCCGTGCTTCCATTTTCTTCTGTATGCTTACTGGGCGTTGTACCTCGACGGTCGGGTAGGGGAGTCTCTTGTTCTTGTCGCATAGGTGGAGTCTAGGTCATCTTCCATGTCGGCAATGTCGTTTGATGCGCTTCGAAAGTTTCCATTTCGTTCACTAATAAACCTGTGCTTGAATGTTCTATACAAACATGCTGAAGCTTGGAAGATTGCGGTTATCGCTGATGGTGGGTGGATGTCTTCTCCGGGTACGGGGGAGGATCCCGGAACGGGACGGAGTCAATAGTTTCCTCCAGCCGGGAATGGCTCGACATGCCCATGGGGGATCAGGGGACCATTAGACCATTAGCCTATGGAGGACGACTCTAGTGAACTTTTAGACCCCCTAATTCCTAGATGATCCGAAGCGGATGTGGGAATCGCTAGAATAAGTGACATCAGTTCCCGCAACAGCCCGACTCCCGGGTGGTGGTGTTGTGGTGGTGGTGTTGTGCAGCCGGCGGCCCAGCAGCAGCAGCTCAGCTCACCGGCCGCCCCACCATTTCCCTAAAACAATTTACCCCGCCAGTGACTGTAGAGTAACCGGACTCGGTCACCGTGACTCTCCAGATCCCATAAAGCGAAAAGCTGCTGGTCCATCTCTCTTCCCCTCTTCCCCTCTTCTCCCTTTCCACTTCATCTTGAAACCAATTCTACGGATTCAATTAGTCAATCATGTCTCTCTCCAACAAGCTCGCTATCACTGACGTCGACCTCAAGGACAAGCGTGTCTTGATCCGCGTAGGTTCTACCCCTCATATGGCTGTGGCGGTATAGTATTGACCATCATCTTTTCTTCAGGTCGACTTCAACGTCCCCCTCGACGCCGATAAGAAGATCACCAACAACCAGCGTATCGTCGGGGCTCTCCCCACCATCAAGTACGCCGTCGAGAATGGCGCCAAGGCGGTCATCCTCATGTCCCACCTGGGCCGCCCCGACGGCAAGGCCAACCCCAAGTACAGCCTGAAGCCCGTGCAGGCCGAGCTCGAGAAGCTGCTGAACAAGTCCGTCATCTTCACCGAGGACTGCGTCGGCAAGGAGGTTGAGGAGACCGTCAACAAGGCCAGCGGCGGCCAGATCATCCTCTTGGAGAACCTGCGGTTCCACGCCGAGGAGGAGGGCAGCTCCAAGGATGCGGAGGGCAAGAAGGTCAAGGCTGACAAGGAGAAGGTGGCTGAGTTCCGCAAGGGATTGACTGCTCTGGGTGACATCTACATCAGTATGCATTGCCTGCCCCCACCCCCACAAGCTGATGCGTTTGCCAGAGCATGAGAGCTAACAATTCTTCCCGCGATCACCAGACGATGCTTTCGGCACTGCCCACCGTGCCCACTCTTCCATGGTCGGCGTTGACCTTCCCCAGAAGGCTTCGGGATTCCTGGTCAAGAAGGAGCTGGACTACTTCGCGCAGGCGCTGGAGAGCCCTCAGCGGCCCTTCCTGGCCATCCTGGGCGGAGCCAAGGTCTCCGATAAGATCCAGCTGATCGATAACCTGCTGCCCAAGGTCAATAGCCTGATCATCACCGGCGCCATGGCCTTCACCTTCAAGAAGACCCTGGAGGGCGTCAAGATCGGCAACAGTCTGTTCGACGAGGCCGGCAGCAAGATCGTCGGCGAGGTCATGGAGAAGGCCAAGAAGCACAACGTCAAGGTTGTCCTGCCCGTCGACTACATCACCGCCGACAAGTTCGCCGAAGATGCCCAGACCGGCAAGGCCACCGACGCCGAGGGTATCCCCGACGGCTTCATGGGTCTGGACGTCGGTGAGAAGAGTGTCGAGCTCTACAAGGAGGTCATTGCTGAGGCCAAGACCATCCTCTGGAACGGCCCCTGCGGTGTCTTCGAGATGAAGCCCTTCGCCAAGGGTACTGAGGAGACCCTTGACGCCGTCGTCAAGGCCGCACAGTCCGGCTCCATCGTCATCATCGGTGGTGGTGACACCGCCACCGTTGCCGCCAAGTATGGCGTTGAGGACAAGCTCAGCCACGTCTCCACTGGTGGTGGCGCCTCCCTCGAGCTCCTCGAGGGCAAGGACCTTCCCGGTGTCTCTGCTCTGTCGAGTAAGTAAAAAAAAAAAAAGAAAAATAAACCTACCACTTAAATGTCTCAATTGGAGGCGTGGAGCCACGTCTGTGATTTGGAGAGGTGCAGCCGGGAGATGACTCGGGAGGGAATATGTGTGCATATGCATTATGTATCCTGTCTTGTCGGCCGTCTGTCCCTTGCATGTCTGTCGGCCATGCGGAGGGGATTTTTTCTTAGTCTATGCTTCAACGAATGTAATGTACAAGGATGATGATGATTCCAATTGTTTTTTTGACTGTGCGCCTTTCTGATTGAGGTTTCTACTCCAGTGACGGGTCCGAAACTGTGATGGCTGGCTACGTAGACCCGAGAGGGAGCCGGATCTGGGAGATCTCTAGAATGTAGTCTCCGGTATCGAACTGTGTTCACCGTCTCAAGACAATAAATAGCCTTAAGCTTTGGAAAAGTAGCTGCATCCATTTCCTGCTCGAACCAGCGCGAACCGACACACATAGCAAACTACAATCTCTATCCCCCTTACATCCAAAAAAAAATATATACCTCTCAAAATTTCATTCTTCGTTAGAAAACCCCCGAAGGGATTGAATCTATCTCCTCCACAGTCCCGAGAAATCCCCCCTCATCAGCGAGACGCATTCACCTTCTTCAACTCTTCTCTATAGACAACGACAAAATGACGAATTAGCGTTTGACTCCAACACTCAAATAATTCAGACACCAAGGCGGGGAGGGTAGGTGATTCGTGGTCGAAGCATTACCACGACACTAATTCACCAGCAGCTCTCCCCCATAATTTCCAAGTATACAGGTGGAAAAGGAAGAGGAGAAGACGTCCGGGAAAAGGAAAACCTACTTCAACTGCTTCGAAAAGTCCTCGGCGGCGTCGTCGTCGTCCCAGCTTTCCTCCCACAGGTGGGCGTCGGTGCCGTTGGCGGTGGCGCCTTGTTCGGTTTCTTCTTGGGGCCAGTCTTTGATGTGGGTTGTTAGTACAGTGGCATGTGGCATGGGTGTGGAAAGGAGGGAGGGAAGGAAGATGGGTTAGGTAGGAAGAGGGGGGGAGGGAATGTATTGTGCATATCATTGGGATAGTCTTGATAGTGTGCCGTGCTGGAGAGAGGGGTCGCCATTGCTCCAGAGCGGAGGAGAGCCCAAAGCGTACCTTCAACAGGGAAATCTTCAAATTCGTCGTCCTCTTCCAGGACGGAGGACTTCTGCTGTTGTTGTTGCGGCTGTTGGCTGGGTTCGGCCTTGTCTTGAGGCTGAGTGCTGGACATGATGGGCGGCGTCGGCGGGGAAGAGGGCGAGAGAGGTTGAGGTGAGGTGGTTTCGAGAAGGGGTTAGGGAGATCGAGGTTTTATGAGTGGTTGGTGGATGCGAAAGTATTTGGAGATGTTTACTGAGAGGTTGACTCTTATCAGGATGTGAATATAGAAAGAAAGAGATGAGGATGGGGTTGATGAGGGGAAGAATGGAGCAAGCGCGCGCAAGCCGCAACGAGCAGCAGCAGCAGTCAGTAACTAGCAGTTAAGAGTTAGTGTTAGAGTTAACTAGCAGTAGCAGCAACAGCTCACCGCGCGGCAGCTCCGATACCCGCCCAATTAGGTTTAGCCTGGAGGTTGTGCATTACAGAGCCATGCATTCATAACTAACCATAGTAATAATTCATGACGCAACTTAGCATTTCCCCCCCAATAACTAACAGAACTGACCAACGGAATTTAAACGCAACATCCAAGGAAACTTGGCTTGTTCAGCCTAGACTAGGCTGCCTCCAAAATCAACTGCAATCCTCCTCTGATCCTTCTGGGCAGCGAGCGCACAGTATTACTGTACCATTGAAGAAGGAAGCGGAGCTGCATCATCTATTCTTATCCATTCGAACTATTGGTTTCGCGCGTTACCATCCTCCGTTAACTCCGCCTCCTCGCCGCCGCAAGTGGACCACAGCTTCCGTTCCATCACGGACTCTGGGGCTTATTATACCTTAGTTATTGCTCCCCTAAAGTCCCTAGAGTCCCTACGGTTACTGCTTTTTCTTTTCTTCCCCCGCCTCCTTCTACAAGGTTATGTTCCCGGATAGTCGCGAACATTCCTGGTTTAATGGGAAAGGTCGCCGGTCTCTCACTCTCCGTCTGCTGCATCGTTTGGGCTCCGGGCCCCTCCGGCTCGTGACTGGAATTTGATCGCCCCTCCCTTTCCCTACAATCTGTCTCGTGCCCACTTTCTTTGTTTGTTTTCCCAACCCTGTGCATCTTGAATTGTTCACGTCAGGATGTTTCGAGTTGGATCATGGCTGTACGGCAAGAAGCCGGGCGCCAATGCCTCCACTCAGTCTTTGGACTCTTTGTCAGAACTGCGGGATCGTAAGTGAATTCTTCTCGCGGGCTAAGACTCTAGACGTCAATCCATTAATGCTAACTTACCGTTGTTGGCCAGTCGAGGATGCCTTGAGAGGTATGTCTTCCCATATTGGATCTCGATTCGATCTTAAAACACCCCGCTCTACCGGGAACTAGCGCTGCAGGGTGATATTGGTTCTAACGGAGTCCGGACACAGCCACTACTTTAATCCTCAATGACGACGTGGACGGTGCCGAGGATGGCCTATCAGAAGGCACATCCTCCTTTCACAATGTATGTCTACTATTCTCGCTGATTGACAACCCTCAGCTGATCGAGGTCGGTCTTCTTTTCGTTGCGATGTATAGCTCGGAAGAGGTGTGGTCGCTTTCATCCGTGCCACCTTGGGCTTTGAGCAGGAGATCATGCGTCAAGGTAGGTCGTCATGACTATGAGCGAGTGGCTTGGGAACATACTGATGGGATTGGTGATTCTTTTTAGCGTCGGAGCGACTCAACGTCGCCGAGACCAGTGCCGCCAGTGACCAGCATCGAGCGCAGCATAATTCCCATGCGCCCAACTCATACCACTCTCAGATCTATGCGCCGGGGACGGAATTTGCCCTCTGTCAGGCAATGGCACAACTTATGAGTGCGGTCGTTGGGGTTCTGAATGAAAGTCTGACGGAGAGCATCAAAGGGTTCTACAAGCTACGGAAGGCCTACATCACGCTAGACGCCATTCTGAAGATGGAGCAGAAGTTCATCATCCAAGAGCGGGGCTCCGGGAGCAGTACCCCTACGGAGATGGGCAGCTCCTCGACCAAGCTTCCGGGACCGAGTGTCGCTCGGACTGCTCCTGCATCGCCCGTGGATTCCGCAGGCCTTTCGGAGCAGCTGTCTGGCCTGACAGTCTCCGGCAGTACCGAAACCTTGACCACCAACTCGGACATGCTGAACCTGGACCCGGAATCTGACATTTTCAAGAACCAGATCGATGTGTTCGTTCATTCGGGTGCGAACTTCTGTTTCGGACTTCTGTTGGTGCTGATCTCCATGGTGCCACCCGTGTTCAGTAAATTGTTGGGTATTATCGGGTTTCACGGCGACAAGGAGCGCGGCCTGAAGATGCTGTGGCAGGCGAGCAAGTTTCACAATCTAATCGGAGGCCTCTCTGCATTTGCAATCCTGGGCTACTCCAACGGATTCGTTCGCTACTGCGACATCATGCCTGACCCCGCCTCGCCCGACGACGTGCAAGGCTATCCGCAAGAGCGCCTTGAGGCTTTGTTGGCGTTGATGAGACAGCGTTTCCCCAAGAGTCAGCTATGGCTCCTAGAAGAGTCGCGGATGAACGCTGCAAACCGCCGACTGGACGTCGCTTTAGAGCTCCTTTGTGGAGAGGAACGCAGTCCGTTGAAACAGGTCGAGGCACTGCGGATTTTCGAACGGAGTCTGAACGCGATGTATCTTCACCGGTACGAGCTGTGTGCGAAGTCTTTTATCGAGGTATGTCAATTCTCGAGCAGGTGCTAGCCGTTACAACTAACTTTTGTCAGTGCGTGGAGCTCAACTCGTGGTCTCGGTCGCTTTACTACTACATCGCGGGCGCCTCGCATCTGAGTCGCTACCGGAGTCTGTCCACCACTGATGCTGCCGCCGCAGCCCAGCACGCGGACAAAGCGACCGAGTACTTCCGCATGGCACCGCCCCTGGCCGGCAAGAAGAAATTCATGGCGCGCCAGCTGCCCTTTGATGTGTTTGTCTCACGTAAAATCGCCAAGTGGGAAGCTCGCGCCAAAGAATGGAAGGTGTCGTTTATCGAGGCGGTGGGCGTTGATCCAATCGAGGAGATGATCTTCTTCTGGAATGGTCACAGCCGCATGACCCAGGCTCAACTGGAAGAGTCGCTCACGAAACTCGCCTGGTCGGAGGGTCCAGCGAACAAGGAGAGGTGGGCACGCGAGGGTCCGGAGGAGAAGGCCATCCTGCAAATCCTGCGGGCCGCCGTCTACCGCGCAATGCGGCGTCACGACGAGGCCAAGGAGCTGATCCAGACCGGGATCTTCAGCCAGGACAAGGCGCAGTTCACGGGCCAGCTCCGAGACAACTGGATCTACCCGGTGGCGCACTTCGAAATGGCCGCCAACCTTTGGATGGAGCGGCCGACGTACCAGGCGCTGCATGGCCAGGCGGTTGCCGCCGAAGGGACTGGCGGTGAGGGCGACGCCGTGCAGCTGGAGCGGCGGCAGGTGCGGGAATGTAAGGAGCATCTCGAGAAGGCGGCCAAATGGGAGAGTTATGAGCTGGACGCGCGCATCGGGCTGAAGGTCACGGCGGCCATGGGGGCGGTGCAGAAGTGGGAGAGCACCCATAGTACCAGTGTCTAGGTATATGGGGGGCATCTAGAGTTTATTTATACATGATGGCCTAGTAGGGCGGGTAAGTCGATGACGATTGACGAGTTTTAATGACGGATTGTACAAATATCCGCCGGCGTCATGATACAGAGGGGTATATTTACATAGTTATGTGAGTTTACGGATAGATAGACTGAATGAATTGAGGTCGATGGACTGTCATTTGCTCAATATTATACTCCATACCTGAGCGTAGTTCGAGAGAGCCAGAACGATGTCATTATCGAGATTTGGAGGCCCGTGAACCTGTAACAAAGTTCCCCAGTAGGCGGAGTGGCGGCTCGGAAAGCCGGCACCGGATTTATATCCGAGGCTTGATAGAGAAAACTCTTGGCCTTGTTCGGGGCTGATACAGATATCTCCGAGAGCGGACCCTCCGACGGATTCCTTCCGATGAGAGCTTTCAATTTCTCGCTGTTGTTTGATGAAGTCTGAGTTCAGGATGAGGTTGTATGCAGGGATGAGACGGTGTGAGTCACTCTGAAAGTTCTGCAGAACCTGTAGCTAAGTTGTACAAGTCATTGGGTAGGGAAGGGAAGGGGTGGTTGGTGAGCTGGGGCTGTCGGTGATTTGAGCTCGGCTTTGTTCGCCGAAGGATGCATGGCAGAGATGCTTGCTTGCTGATGGAGATTGATCCGTTGATTGATGACCTGATAAGTGATAAGTTGCCATTGAAAGTGTCGTGGACTGGTTCCAGTAACTAGTTGGTTCACTTTGCGTGCATGGACAGCAAGCAAGCAAGCAGCAACAGCAAAGAATTACATACCGCTGGTTTCAAGCTGGGTTTCGCTGTGTCTTAGGGTTACAGCAGTTAGTTAGACTGGCTTGGGGTTCTAGACTTTCCCTAACTCAGCCCTGCACTGACTTACGAGATAGAACTGGTACTCCAGCAGATGATCCACTGGACTGACTAGGTAGTGACTAGTAGAAGGACAGCGGCTCAATCACAGCACAGACAATTGGGCAGTAGAGTATGTAGTTATCTCTCGATCTATCAACGACACCAAGACCTTCGGCGATTGAACCCCCCCCCGCCGAGCGAGAACTCGATAAGGACCCAAGGATCGGAGGTCCGACAACGGAAATGTGGGCACCCGGTTTTTTTTTTTTTTTTTTGGTCTTTTGGCAACGGTGCAATCAGTACCTGGTTAGTAAGTTAAGTAGTAGCCAGTGACTCAACTAACTATAAGTTAAGTTAGTCGACCATCAATTATATTAAAAAGCGGACTATTCCGTTGCAGTGACGTTGGATTTCCTTCCATTCTTCCATGTTTTCGCGGTGGCTCGGTACTTGAAGTCTCTAGAGAATTTATTCGACATTCTTGATAAAGTTATACTGTGCTGCTGCTGTCGCAACTACTGCTGGGACATGTTACTGTTAATGTTGATATTGATTTAATTGTCCTGTCTATCAAAATTCAAACATACCAAGAAACCGATCCACCATGACCGATTCGGCCCACGAGGGCACCACCGCCACCCGTCATAATCTCCCCGCATCCTCCTCTTCCTCCTCTTTGCATTCCCCCAACACTTCCACTACATCTTCTACCTCTCCTCACCATCACCACTACAGCCAAGATGAACATGAACAAGAACCCGACCCCAACGCTCTCGAAAAGCAACCCACCGCTGCCTCGGGCTTCTCCGCCGCCCTGCAGACCCGCACGCAATCCCTCGTCTCGCGCATCCGCAGCCGCGAACCGGGCCAGACCCGCGGCTTCTCGCATCCGCTGTCGCACACCAAGACCACCGAGGATGTGATTGTCGATTTCGACGGGCCCGATGATCCTTATCGGCCGATGAACTGGAGTTTTCGGAAGAAGGCGGTGACGACGGTGTTGTATGGGTTGACGACTATGGGTATGTTGTTCCCTTTTAAGGTTGGAAGGACGGCGTGGGAAGTGTCTGCTGATACTGACATGGTTGTGTGTCTTTGTAGGGGCTACATGGGCAAGTTCAATGTATGTTCTTTCTTTGGTTTATGGCTGGGAGTATGCAATGGACATGGCTGATGAGACGGTGACACAGTTACTCGACCGGGACCACGCAAGTAGATGCAGAGTTCCACGTCGGAGAGGAAGTCGGGACGCTGGGGACGACTTTATTGCTTTTTGGATTCGGTATGGTTTTGCACTGCAACCCTCCCCCGGAAAGCAGCACGCCCACCGCTAATGCTGAAGCTAATGCTCATGCTCATGCTAATGCTCATGCTCATGCTAATGCTCATGCTCATGCTTATGCTCATGCTCATGCTCATGCTAATGCTCATGCTACCAGGCCTGGGCCCCCTCATCTGGGCGCCCATTTCCGAAGTCTACGGGCGCAAACCCGCCGTGCTAGCCCCGTACTTCATCGCCGCGATCTTCTCCTTCGGCACGGCGACCGCCAAAGACCTGCAAACCGTCATGCTGACGCGCTTCTTCACCGGCTTCTTCGGCTCCGCCCCCGTCACCAACACGGGGGGCGTCCTCAGCGACATCTGGACCGCGGAGCAACGCGGCGCCGCCATCGTCGGATACGCGATGGCGGTCGTCGGCGGACCCGTGCTGGGCCCGATCGTCGGCGGGGCGATCACCTCGAGCTACCTCGGCTGGCGGTGGACGCAATACATCACGGGGATCATGATGATGTTGTTCCTGTGCCTGGATCTCCTCTGCCTCGACGAATCCTACCCGCCCGTGCTGCTGGTCTACAAAGCGCAGCGCCTGCGCTTCACCACCGGCAACTGGGCCCTGCACGCCCGCCACGAGGAATGGGACGTGACCCTCCGCGAACTCGGCAACAAGTACCTGATCCGCCCCTTCGCCCTGCTTACCACCCCGATCTGTTTCCTGGTCGCCCTCTACGCCTCCTTCGTCTACGGCATCCTCTACCTCAGTCTCGCCGCCTTCCCCATCGAATTCCAGCGCATCCGCGGCTGGAACCGCGTCGTCGGCGCCCTCCCTTTCCTGGCGTATCTGATCGGCATCCTCTGCGGCGCCGCCATCAACCTCTTCAACCAGCGCTTCTATATCCGCCGCTTCAAGCAGAACCACAACCGCCCCGTCCCCGAAGCCCGGCTCCCGCCCATGATGCTCGGCTCCGTCTTCTTCGCCGGCGGCCTCTTCCTCTTCGGCTGGACCGGCACCCTCAACTATCACTGGATCTGCCCCTGCATCGGCGCCGTCCTCATGGGCTTCGGCTTCTTCACCATCTTCCAGGCCGCCCTGAATTATCTCATCGATACCTTCCAGGCGGTCTCGGCGAGTGCCGTCGCCGCCAATACCTTCATGCGCAGTCTGTTTGCCGGCTGTTTCCCGCTGTTTGCCAATATCATGTTCACGAAGCTGGGCGTCCCCTGGGCCGCCAGTGTCTTGGGCTTTGTGGCCGTCGCCCTGATTCCGATTCCCTATTTGTTTTATATCTATGGGAAGCGGATCCGGGCGAGGGGGAAGTGGTCTAGGGCTTCGGTTTATGATTGATTTCTCTGTCGGGGGAAAGATACCTCGCATGATATACGGGTTTCTGGGTTTGGTTTATACATATATATATATATGTATGTATTTTATATATATGTTCATATGCATACGTCCTCAGGGGCTTTAGATACCATTTCAAGATCTATGATAATTCTACAGTTTTTCACTGATTTTGTTCTTGACCGGTTGAGTTGTATTTTGGTGTTGGTGGGTGACTCGACTTTATAGAACGGTTTCGACTTATAGTACTTGCTGAATCTGGTAGGCAAGTCGAACACTTGACTGCCTGCTGAACTTGACTTACTGACTTACTGTATCACGAAAACTAGGCTTACTCTACCAATCGCAAGCAGATGACTCGAAAGATCATTGTATCAAGTACACTTTATACACAAAAAAAGTCTAACACAAACGAACGAACTATTCCAAACGACAGATAGATAGACAGTTTATGTCCCCATATATACAGAGAACGCCAACAAAAAGAAATCAAAAGAAGGTTCATCCAGTCATCACGCCACCAACTACTTCCGGGTAACACCTCCCCACTTGGATATTCGCTTTGCCAACGTCACCGCTTTCCCCAGGGAATTCCAGCTGCTGCTCTTCACCAGCGAAGCAGTCTTCTCCTCCTCCGAGACAGTGCTCCCCGCAGAGGGCAGAGTCTCCTCGCCCATGCTCTGCTGCTGCTGCTTGTGGTGCTCCGCCATGACGGCCAGCTGCCCCAGGAATGTGTGGTGCTCCAGGAGATCTTCCATCCGCACCTGGAAACCTTCCTGCTGCAGAATCCACACCACCTGCGCCATGTTCATGATGTCGCCGCCCAGGTCGAAGAACGAAGAGTCGAGCTGGTAGCTGTCCGTGGTGCCGCGTGGGAGCACCTGCTGCCACGTCCGCGTCAGGATGTCCGAGTGAATCAGCAGCTCCTCCTTGCTGCGGGTGTTGAGGCGGGACAGCTGGAAGGATGTGTCGTCGGAGCGCGGTGCCTCGTGGATGATCTGGCTAGGCAGGGAGCGGACGGTGGACGGAGAGGCGAGCGGCACGCTGGGGTTGGCGATCAGGCTCTGCACCGTCTCACACACCATCTCAAGTGCCTTCAGCACGAAACTCGAGGGTATCGGTCCCTTGAGCGAGTAGCCGACTGAGACGTCGAGCTTCTCGGAGCCGCATGACTTGGATGCCAGGGTGAGATCCGTGAAATTATCGATGACACCCACGCCACCCATTCGGTAGTTGACGCCGTCCAATTGCATCTGGCCCTCGTACTCGACGTTTTGGTGGAAGACAGAAGTCGTGAAGTAGGTATTCTTCGGCCAGTCGGTGCAGTTGCGGATAATCTCCCGGAACCCGAGGGATTCGTACGGCATGTTGGCAATCTGCTGATCCTGAAGGTATCGGAACAAGTCGATGCCAGTCCAGTGCTCACGGAACTTGACTCTGATAGGCAAGATATTGAGACAAGGTCCCACCGTGGTCTCGATGCCCGGGACGCTGGCGTTGCGGCCGTTAACAGTAAGTCCGAAGACGACATCAGATTGGGCAGTCAGCTTGGCCAAGGTAATGGCCCATGCGGATTGCATCACCGTCGCTAGCGTAACATTGCCAATGGCGGTTGACGGAAGATTAATGGTCTTCTTGTGCTCGGCAAAGGAACCAATGTGCAGGTAAGTGTTCGGTTGCGTGCGGTGGATGATCTGGGTCATTTTCGAGCCCTTGAGAATCGTGGACCAGTGGTGGTAGTGGGCCGGTGTGATGTTGCCAGGCAGCATCCGCATGTAGTTGGAGAAAGAGAAGACAGGAGGCAAGGTGCTGCCCTCGTAGCCCAGCTTAATAGCATTCATGATCTTGGGCAGACAGACACCGTCGAATTGAGCGTGGGACATCCGGATCAGGATACGGTGCTGGTCGCTCTTCTTCTGCTTGACAATGTAGAACTGCACGTACTGCTCACCTTGACGCGGATCTTGTTCGCGGTCCCGCTTCTGGAGGCCATCGGTGTACTCATCAAGGCTCTGTTCGGTCTCGTGCACAATGATCTCGGGCTGGATCTTGCGCAAAACTACCTGGTAGAACTGTCCCCGATGGACAACGAAGACGGTGCGCAGAATGTCGAACGCATCGACAACACGCAGGAAACTTTCTCGGAGTCGTCTAATATCCAATGGGCCATTCCCATCCAGGAAGAAGTAGTTGAGCATCCACCTGGATCCGAACAGAGTGGCGGCGATTGACATAGACTGGAAATCAGTGACAGGGAGAACATCGGCAATCCCGCCCTTGAAAATACCAATCTTGGGACAGATGGCATCCTGCAGAGACATAACATCAAGCTCCATGGGACGCGGCATTGTTTTCTGCTGAGCGTGCGCGTCTTCCGGGGTATCGGTCTCGAGCAGCTGCTCGATGTTATTCTCGCCCTGTGTCTCAGCGTTGGAAGTCGAGCTGCTTCGAGGTGTGACAATAGCCAGCATGTCCTCGAACACGGGGTTGCCAAAAACGTCGGCAACGGTCAACTGCAATCCCTCCTCGCGGGCAGCGCTGACCATCTTCATCGCGGTGATACTATCTCCGCCGAGCTTGAAGAAGCTGTCACGGTAGCCAATGTTGTCCGAGGTGAGTCCCAGGGTCGACTTCCAGAGAACCCACAGACGTCTTTCGGTGTCGCTCGAGCTTGAGCCATCGTCGGTCAGGGATGGAATCGAATCCGACAGATCAGTTTCACCTGCAATGGGCTCGCGAATGGAAGCCTCGACCATCTTGACGTGGACAGAGCGATTGGAATATCTTGTCTCGCTTCTTTGAAGGAGAGGGATAGCAAGCTTTCCTTCTTTGAGCATGTTACCAATGATTTCATTGACACGACTGTCGATCAATTGCTGCAGGGCATAGTTGTCGATGATTTGATCTGCAATCAGAGGGCCCTTGGTGAATTGACAAGCCGGACGCAGCATATGCAGGTTCAGATCTGCGACAAGTCTAGACGGCTTCTCAACGAAAGACGTGAAGATCGTGGCAATGGCATCGGACATGTTCTTGGCCTGGGCATCAGTCACGGAATCGGTCCAGTATCTCAGCAGAATTCCTTCTCGACCCTTGGTTGTCTCAACATTGACAGTCACAGGATACTGTTTTCTGTTAGTACTAAAACTCCAAAGTCGGACCTGGCACACTTACCTCTGTAGGGTCGTAGGCCTTTTGCATCTCGAAGCCAATCGAACGGCTGGCAGCATCTTTGTTGGCAGTGCGGTTTTGAATCGAGAGGGTGGTGTTGAACAGCGACTTGCCGTGCCACCCAAGCTCGTGCTGGATCTGAGCCAGGGAGCAATGCTGATACGCGATGTTCTTCATGAAGTCATCCTGCACCATCTTGGCAACCTCAAGGAGCGACTTTGTAGGGTTGAACTTGACTCTGCAGCACAGCATGTTGATGAAGATACCCACCGCGTCTTGAATACCGGGGACAGGGGAGTCACGACCAGCCGCTGGATAGCCAAAGCAAACGTCATCCGAACCAGTGCAACTCTGCAAGACGATTGCCCAGGCACAGAGTGTCAGGTTGGCAAGCGTGATTGACTGTTCTTCGCAGAACTTTTGCAGCTCAGAGAAGCGGGCGAAATCCATGAAACGCTCACCAAGCGTCCGTGTACCGTTACTAGAACCGGAGAATTTGAGGTGGCAGGGCTGGACACCGGAAAGGTATTTCGTCCAGTGTGCCAAGGCTTCGCCTTGAGTCTGACCCTTGATGTACTTGATGTACTCGCTGAAGTGGGGTCCTGAGCCTTCAGGCAGTTGATCATTGTAGGCCAATGTCAAGTCTCTCAGAATCAGATCCACTGATCCACCGTCAATAATGGCATGGTTCATCTCAATCTTGAGCAGAACCCGGCCAGCAGAGGTGGTGCAGACGCTCACTTGGTGGGTGAGCTTGGTCGACCTTTCAGCATTGATGTCTCGAAGCTTGATAGCGTCGAGAGTTCCCAATGCCTCCGAGTCGTCACACTGGAATTCGATCACCTCATCCTTAAGGCTCTTCGTGACCACCTGATCGAACGAGCCGCCCTTGTAGTTGCTGTCAATGAAGACAGTCCTTAGAACGGGATGACGGCTGACTACCATGGACCAAGCCTTGCGAAGCTTCTTGGCGTCGATTTTACCACTCGTGTCTTGGGGACGCACTTCAAAAATAACGTTGAACAGGTACCCTTGTGGGTCTCGAAGTTGGCTGAGCAAGATACCTTCCTGCACCGGTGAACAGGGGTAGACATCTTCAACATCGTCCCAGCGGTCGACTCCAATCTTAGGGAAGGCATTTTTGACCATGTTGTTCAGGCCTTGGTAGGTGATTGGCAGCAGAGGATAGTCGCTCAGTGTAGGCTCAGGAACGCTTTCCCCCAGGCGCAGCATATCCTCCTGAAGAACACGCTTGCACTCGGAGATCCATCCCCGGATGCGTGATTCGTGCTGCATGTGGCGGTTATAGGTAAAGGAGACCTGCAGCTGGTCTTTGATAATGAGTGCGGAGATCTCGAAAAGCGCGAAGCGTGGCGTTTCAGGACCCATGTCACCTGCCAGCTCGAAGGTCTCGGCGTTGAATGCTTCTCCGTGGTGCTTAAATAGTGCGTCATCACGTTCGAGCTGCTGAAGCTGACCGAGATAGTTGAACAATACTTCAAGTGGAACCGGGAAATCGGAACCATTCTTGTGGAGAAGATTCTCGGCGAAGTAGGGTCGGCTAATGCTAGAAACTTGACGTCTTGTATCCTTGACATGCTTCAAGGTGTTTAAGATATCTCCAAAGGAGTCAGAATTACTTTCAGTACAGACTGGAAGATAGGACAAACCTGTGTTTTCATCGATATGCAGAGGACACATGGTTGTAAACCAGCCCACTGTTCTGGAGAGGTCAATGGATGAATCCCAAGATTCACGACCGTGGCCTTCGTTGTAGATTGTCGGAAGCTCCCTATCAGTGAAAGTCTGGCGGAAAGACTGGATCACAGCAGCGAGCACGACTTCAATAGTTTCAGTGCGGAGAACTGCCTTGCATGATTTAAGGATCTCAGCAGTCGTCGCTGCGCTCAGAGTAAAGCCTTCCATCTTGACCTGACCATAACAGTTTGCCGATTTATCTATGCCCCAGTAGCCAAGGTTAGGAGGCTGCACAGAGAATGGTAGCTGAAGAGAGCTCTCGCTTTTCTTGCTTTCCTCGAGCTGAAGACTGCACCAAGTCTGGAAAGACAGGGGCTTCTCGCCGGATAGCGAGCCGGAGTCCAGGAATTCCTGGATGTCCTGCAGGACAATGCGCCACGACACCATGTCAATGCACATATGACTTGCCGTGAGGAAGAGGATCTGCTGGCCCCCAGTAACCTCGAACAAGTCGGCAGCGAAGATTGGCCCCTTTTCGATATCCAAAGAACACTGGCTGTCAGCAATGAAAGGCAAAATATCCTTCTCATTGTTCACAGAGTGAAGGCGGAATCGATAAGAGGCATCAATGTCCTGTGAACAGTCGTCAGTTATTTGGCCCGGCTTATGACTTGTGGGGAACAGAAAGCTCACATCGATGATCTTCTGCTGCCAATTTCCGTGGAGCTTCGAGAATCGTGCACGGAACATAGAATGCTGCTCGATAACAGCACGAACAGCCTGCTTCATATTTTCCGCCTTGATCTTCCGTGTGACACGCACCGTCATGCTCTGGTTGAAGCGAGCCGCGCCCTTGAACTTAGCGGCCGTCTGCATGTACAACTCCTGTATCGGAGACAGTCCGAAATGCTGATCAGACTTCTCCTCATTTTTGACAGCCTTGACCTTGGTGTCAGAGGCTTGAGCAAGATCTTTGATCGATTTGCTCTGCAGCACGCTGTGAAGGGTGAGGGTGAGACCCTGCTTGCGGGCGCGCGAGACAACAGCCATTCCAGTGATACTATCACCACCTATGTGAAACAGTTAGTGATGTTCCGGCTTATCATTTTCCATCAATGTCACTCACCAAGGCTAACGAAAGAACGGTTGGGGTCGACCTTGTTCTCTGGCATGTTAAGGACCTGCGAAAAGATCCCGCGGAGCAGCTTGGTGGAGGATTCGATATCTTCCTCCTCCACAATATCCTCCTCAACCTCTCCTCGCTTGATGTTATCGTAGTCCTGCATAATTCGCTCGTACGAGGCGTCATCGAGGCGCTCAAGCCAAGCGGTAATGCGCTTTCTGTCGAGCTTTCCAGAGACAAGCATCGGCAACTGCTTGATAAGAGCCCAGGCTTGGGGAACCATGTAGATGGGTAACTGAGACTCGAGGTTTTTCTGGATGGCGACTAGCTCATGGTATGCAGCCTGAGTGGAGCGATTCTTGGACACAAGCTCACATGCATTGTCTGAGATGATGCTCTTTTCGGATTTCAACGAGTTCAAAGACAAGACTGTCACCAGACGTTGCTTGAGAGGTCCCGTTGATGGCAGAAGCACAACAGCATGACGAACGCGAGTATCCTCATACAGACGATGCTCAATCTCGCCAAGTTCCATGCGCTGACCGTGAAGCTTGACTTGATGGTCCTTGCGGCCGATGTAATGCACAGTTCCGTCGGCGTTGTACTTAACGAGATCTCCGGTCTTGTAGATTCGTCTAGGAGCAGGCAAGGAGCCGGGAAAGCTCTTGATCCAGGCTGGCTCATTCACAAATGACTCAGCCGTCTTTGTTGGATTCTTAAGGTACTCCCTGGCGAGCGCTGGGCCTTCCAAGGCCAGCTCACCGACTGCGCCCAAGGGCGTCAGTTTGTTGTGGTTGTCCGGGTCAACGACCCAGGTCAACGTACAGGGAATACCATAACCGATGCAAGCAGGTTCAGGAATAGCGGCAACATCAGTGTTGATGACAGCGAAAATGGTTGTCTCGGTAGGCCCGTAGCCGTTCATCAACTTCACCCGGTGCGCCCACTTGGTAATTACTTCGCGTGACATTTTCTCTCCACCACACACGAGATGCTTCAGAGAAGGCACGGAAGAAGGCTCGATGATACTAGCGATAGAGGGGGTCAGGAATGACCATGTGACGTTCATGCGTCTAATAGCGCCAGCAACGTCATTCAGACGTTCGTCTTCGCTTGGAATACAGACGCAACCTCCGTGCATGAGCGTAACGAGCACTTCCATAACAGCAGCATCAAACGTGAGAGAAGCGAATTGGAAAGCTCTGGTATCTTGGTCCATATGTACCATAGGTCCAAATGCCATGCCACTGCTTGCAAGTGCTTTGTGGTCAATGATAATACCCTTAGCACGACCGGTACTACCAGACGTGAAGATTGCAAAAGCCATGTTTGTGGAAATTGAGCGACTGGAGGATTTTGTGCTAGATGTCGCAAGGGTGCAATATGCTTTCACGGTGTCCTTGCTAACCGGAATGATGGTCTTTACGGAGCCTGAATAACGGCTCTGGTACTTGGGAGAGCAAAGAACCACCCGGGCGTCCACTTCAGCCAGAATCTCTTGGTGTCTTGAGGTAGGATGGGCGGGGTCCAGGGGAACGAACGCGCCGCCAGCAATCAAGATACCAAGAATTGTGACAACAGCCCACAGAGATTTGTCCATGCAGATCGGCACCAAAGTCTCTGGCCCGACGCCGCGCGAGCTCAGGTAAGCAGCAAAGGCGGAGGAAAGATGAATGAGTTCCCGGTAAGCCAATTGACCATCCCAGGAACAGATGGCTTGAGCTTCGGGCCGGAGCTTCGCCTTCTCTTCGATGATGTGGTGGACACATCTGTCGACACATGGAGGATTTCTCTGGTTCCAAGAGGCTATTTCCTTTTTATCCACCGGACTGGATACCTCTAACTCTCCGACCTTTCTTGAATCATCCTTGTTAATGGCGAGCAACTGTTGCAGCACGAAGCTGAACTGCCCAATAAGCATCTTGGCTTGCCAGCTGTCAAAGACAAGCTCGTCGTGGTGAATGGTGATTGCAATTTGAGTCTGACCTAGCTTGCATTCGACAACGATAGGGTGGGTGAAAAAGTCTCCCTCCGTTAGGTTATTCTTCGATTCCCAGATGTCTTTGTTGAGCTGGCCTTCGTCCGTTTGGATGACCAAAAGATTCTGGAACTCACAGGCGAGAGCCGTGTCTTTGCTGAGTTTTCTGATCCGTTGGAGTCCAGTATGCTGGTGTGGAATCATATCAGTGGCCAATTGACGCACACTCTGCAGGTACTGAACGAGCTCGACATCATTGTCCACCACAATCCGGGTAGGAACAGTTGTCAAGACTGGGCCAGCAACATCCGTGGCCCCAGGCATGTCGGTGTTTCTGCCCATAAGCGTCTCGCCGAAGCAGACGTCCGCAGATCCCGTGTGAACAGAGATCATCAACGCCCACGCCGCACGGATTAATTCCGGAGTGGTCAAGCTAAGACCGTTGGCGACCTTAGGCAGAGCAACGGAGCTATAGTGTCTGTTGCCGACACGGATGGCATCCTCCGAAGATGCCTTGGTTTGCGGGAACGGAGTCGAAGAAAGGTTCGACAGATATCTCTTCCAGAACTCGTCGGATGCTGAGGCATCTTGGTGCAACAGGTGGCTTATGAACAGATTGTAGGGCAAGGTTCGACTGGCAGCCGAAGACTCCAGGTATATCTCCTCCACCCTTTTGAAAATCTGGGAGACGCTCCATCCATCATACAGAGCGTGGTGGATGGTCCAAACAAAGTAACGTTCCGAAGAATCCTCAGGTTCGACGATTCCGTACCCAGTTAGGGACCCTCCGTCGTTCTTTGATAGGTCGAAGCCCTCATTGGTAAGCGTATCAAAGTTCTCCGCGTGATCCCATGTGATGGGCGCCTCTGCGAGTACAGCCTGGAGGAAGTTGGCAGTCTCAGTATGTACAACTCGAGTGCGCAGAATCTCCATTTCATCGACAGTCTGCTGCCAGGCATTCTTGAATTTTTCGAGGTCCACATCCTCCGCAAGTTGGAAGACAGGTCGAGCGATGTAAGAGCCTTGTTGCTTAATGGAAAGCGTGAGCAAGCCCTCCTGCACCGGACTGCACGGGTACAGGTCAGCTATCATCGGCTTGGGCACGGAGCACTGCTCAGTGACCTCATCAAGGATCTCTTCTTGCGTGACAGAAGTAGGCAGCAAACTGAAGGGCTCGATCTTCTCCACAACCGAGCCGGACTCCACAGCTCCACAACTCTTGGCCATATCCACGAAAACAGGTGTCTTGTAGATATCGGCAACCGTGAGTAAAAGGCCTTCGGCAGAGGCCGCAACCACGAGTTTCATGGCCGAGAACGAGTCACCACCCAGACCAAAGAAATTGTCCTCCGCAGTAACAGAGTTTGGCGCGAGGTTGAGGGCTTTCTCCCAGAGACCCCGGAGGACTCCTTCAGTCCCTTTCATTTCCACATCGGCACTGCTTTTTTTGCCAGTATTGAAAATAAGGTAGGGCTTCAATCGCTCCTTGGGAAGAGCATCAACCATGGCTCGAAGGGCTCTGCGGTCAGTCTTGCCGGTAGATCCAAGCGGCAGACGATGAAGAGGGAAGAACAGTTTTGGCAACATTGCCGGAGGAAGCGACTTGGTCATGGTTTCATGCAGCTGCTTGACAATCTCCACCAAGGATTCATTCATTGAAATGATCAAGTCATTCTCGTTCTCAGCACTGTGACCACCCACCGTGAAGAAAGCTGCCAGGCACTTCCCAACAACCTTCGATTCTGGAGCAACAACTTCGACAGCTACCTGGGTGGCTTCAGGTAGGTTACGAACACACACCTGTTCCACTTCACCTAATTCGATTCGTACACCGTTGAGCTTCACCTGTGTATCAATACGCGAGATGAACGCGATGGATCCATCATGGTTGTAGCGCACCAAATCTCCGGTGCGGTACATGCGTTCTTTGCGTGGGAAAATCGCTCTCAGTTCATCCCTATTTGCCCACTCTGGATTTCTGATGAAGACCGCCTTGGTCTTTTCTTCGTTGTGAAGGTAGCCGCGGGCGACATTGCAGCCCTCGATCACCAATTCTCCAACTGCACCAACAGGAACAAGCCGGTTGTGGTTCCGGACATCGACAATCCAGGTTCTGCCCAGGATCGCAGTGCCAATCGAGGCACCATCTCTGCTAACAAGCTTTCCTGTTGGGTCTCTTTTGATTCCTGCAGTTGCTGCGATAGTTGCCTCAGAAGGCCCGTAAGCGTTAATGATACACCTGTCCGACCAGCGCTCCAAGAAATCCTGCGACATCTTCTCTCCACCTGCAGCAAGTGTAGTCAGACTCGGGATAGTCTTAGGATCTAAGGTGTTTGCAATGGACGGAGTGCAGCACATGAAGTTGGCCTGCATCCTCTCGATCGCTCCTGCCAGATCGTTAATGCGCTCCTCTTCGCTTGGGACGCAGACACAGCCGCCGTTGGCGAGAGCAACAATAATCTCGAGTACGCTAACATCGAAGGTATAGCTTGAAAACTGTAGTACGCGAGGTCTAGTATCCATCAGGAGACCCTTGGCGAGACCAGAAGTTGCTAGGCTCAGTCCAACATGCTCCAACACCGTAACCTTTGGTTTTCCTGTGGTTCCAGAGGTGAAAATAACATAGGCCGGGTTGTTCACGTTGGCAGGTTGGATCTGCGAGGATGCGTGTTCGGGCAGCTGCTCAATTGTATCTCTGGTGACAACAAAGGACGATTCACAAATGATAGAGGCCTTCTCCTGATACTTTTCGCAGCAAAGGATGATATCGGTTCCGAGATCTCCAACCATGCCACGCAAACGATCAGTAGGATGAGTAGGGTCGAGTGAGGCAAAGGCACCGCCAGCCTTCAAAACAGCAAGCTGTGCAATGATAGTCCATGCTGATTTCTCAAAGAACAATGCCACAAACACCTCAGGCTTGACACCCAACACTGCCAAGTGTTCTGCGAGTCGGCTTGACAAAACATCAACCTCGCCATACGTGAAATCACCGTCCCAAGAACAGATGGCAGGCGCTGTGGGATCAGTCAATGCGTACTGATGAATGATCTCATGCGCACATTGCTCAGGACGATCTTCCAGGTTCGCATTCCACTCGCACAGCTTCTGGCACGAACGTTCGCTGAGGAGGTCAATATCACAGATGCTGTGCTGCGGAGAGGCGTGAACGACAGAATCCAGGATGTGGTTGAAATTATCGATGATACCCTCCATATCAGCATGCGAGATACTCTTAGTAGAGTACTCGAATGAAAGATCACCAGTGGTCTCCAGGGAATCTAGATTCACAGCGATCATGAATTCACTCAAATCCGCATCCGCGGCGGCGCCCTGACATCTCACCACAGTGTTGTAAATGGAGTCTTCGAACCCAATCTCTTGCTGGATTTCTTTGAAAGGTAATTGGTGCTCCAACATTTGCTCAATATCGCCGATTCTCTGCAATATAGCCTGCTCGATTGTCACGCGGTCCATGAGCTTCAGTCTGCAAGCAAGGACTTGACATGAAGGGATCTTATCAGAGAATTTGAAACGATCGGCGTCATCGTTCGCAGGTGGCAAGATCCCGAAGGATACGTCTTCCATGCCGGTGTAGCAACGTAGAAGCAAGCCCCAAGCAACTTGGATGAGTGAAGACAACGGGACATCGTTACTCTCACAGAACTCTCGCAGCTTGTTTGTTCCCTTGAGAGTCAGGGTCTTCTGAGCCCGTGCATCTTCAGTCGAATGCACACAAAGAACCGGGAATAGGCACGATTCGATGTCCGCCAGGTATTCCTTCCACTTTGAGACGCTATTCTGAAAGGTGGGGAGCCCTTGGTTGGAGCTCAAAAGGCTTGCGATCTTCTGTTGCATGTGCACTTCTGTGTTCAGAAGCCGCAGACAAGAAACAAATTGAGCCATCAAGCGTTCGACTTGACTAGCATTGAGAGATGATTCATCAAACCGGACAGCCAATTCCAACTTCTCACTTTCAACGGCACATTGAACAAGCAATGGGAAGGAAGTGACCTCGTCCTGATTCTGGGCATCAACGTGTGTCCCCGACTCTGAGCATGCAGTTTCATCTATCACCGAAAGCAAGCTGCCTAAAGTACAAGCGCGTGCAGTATCGGCGTTGAGACTCTGGATGCGGCAAAGACCTGCCCACTGGTATGGTTGAGCCGCAGCCACGCTGACTCCAGTCTTCTCCAATAGTTCCGTAACAGTGGAGTCGCTGTCAATTTGGAAGCGACGGGGGACAACGGTCGCGAGATGCATTTCCTCAATTGGAGTCTTCGCACCCGAAACTAACTCGCCAAAGATTACATCATCAGATTTGCTATAGCCATGCATAGTCAGAGCCCATGCGCAAAGAATGGCAGATCTGCGACCTGTCTTGAACGATTCAATAGGGGCGCCCCAGGAAACCTGCACGCTTCGCTTTCCGTACTTCGCAGAGTGTGTCTCAGATGAGGCCGCACGAGAAGGAAACTGCTCGGGCTGAGATGATTCGAATAGTTGGGTTCTCCAGAAGTCACTGTATCCCTTGATGTCAAACGCAGCCCGAGCAGCCTCCGGCAAATTCAGGGAAGCGTGCTTCAAAATCTGGCGGTCCAGTTTACCATTAGATGTAAGTGGCATCTTCGGTACCTGGAAGTAGAACCTCGGAACTTGGTCTGCAGGCAATTGATGCGATAGCTGAGCATGCAACTTGATTGCCTTCTCATGGAACTCAGGACTCATTGGAGCAATCAAGTGGTCTCCGTCAACCTGGACATTCGAGCCATCAAACAGGAACACGGCCAGAGTCTCCCTGGATTCTTGACCGCTTCTCTGAATAATGCTTTCGACAGCGTAGGGGGTGCTCAGGGAGGTCAGGAGGGCCATGCGTTGCTCAATCTGCAAGAGGCTCGTACAGCTGCCTCCATCTTTCTTGCCTACGTATACAAGAGAACCATCGGAGTTGTAACGAGCAAGGTCTCCCGTCTTGAACAACCAACGTGCTGATTCGGAGCCTTCGGTGGTCTCGTTGTCTTGGCTCAGGCTCCATTGCGGACTCTTGATGAAGTGTTCCTTCGTTTGTTCCTCGTCATTGAGGTAACCGGTAGCGAGACATGGGCCCTCGATGACAATTTCTCCGACACATCCTACCGGAACGAGGACATTGGAGTTGTTGGGATCAATTAACCACGAGATACATCCGACAGTAGATCCGATGGTGGGAAGACCATCAGACGTCTCCAGGGCGGAGGTCTTAATGCAAGCCGAGGAAGATTCGGTTGTTCCGTAGAAGGCATGAATTTTGACTCTCTTGGACAGAGTATCAATCAGCTTCTTTGTTAGACATTCACCCCACAAAGCGATTACTTCCACGCCAGCAAAGCTCGCTGGCTTTAGGCTCAGAGCGCCTGATGTAGCAAGGGTCATGGCATTTGCTCGCAGCTTCTTAAGTTCACGTGCGAGATCTTGCGAGCTGGTCTCGGATGAGATACAGACACTGCCACCAGCCAATAAAGTACCGAAAGTCTCTTGTAGGAACATGTCTGAGGTATAAGGAGCCGACTGGAACATCCGATTCTTGTTGTTTAATCTGAGCTCGGATGCGAAGAACTTGGCCCGGCTCATGATCGCTCTGTGGCTGAGAACAACTGCTTTGGAACTCAGGGTAGTGAATACCACGTATCCATCCTGCGAAGGAACAGCAGATGACTGCGAGCTAGCATCTGTGTTGGGCAAGACACTGAATAGAGTCTCTTCCACCGGGATGACGTATGGGACATTTCCTTCCAGCAGCTGCGCACGAGCTGGAGATGCGAGAGCAACTTGGGCCTCATCCATAACCGACCAGTCATCAATGTGATGCTGGACATGAGTATCCAGCGGAACGCAGACTCCTCCAGCTTTGGAGATAGCCAAAATCGCGACAATCATCCAGGCGGATTTGTCAAAGACAATCGGGACAATGTCGCCGGGGCTTACACCCAACTTGATAAGATAAGCTGCAAGGATCGAGGACAGCTCGTTGACTTGAAAGTAATTGAAGGTTCCATCCCACGCAGTAACGGCAGGGGAATCCGGCGTGGACTTGGCGTACGCCTCGACCATCTCATGGATGCAGATATCCACAGCGCCAGGCATATGTTTATTCCAGACCTCGATCTGTCGCTTGTTCACTTCGCTGAAGTGATCAAGTTTGTGGACATTCTCGCTGACGTGAAATGCAATGTTCTCAAGAGACTTGAGGAATGTGCTGGCAACATGCTCGGCTTGTCCAACGGAAAGGTGATCCGTCCAGTGATTCAGATCAATGTTGGCGTCTTCATCGGTGGCTTCGACATTAATGAAGACCGGAGACTCGGCAGGATCATGGATGGTTCCCACTTCTGAGAGTCGAATCTCTTCTCTTGCCGATCCTGTCGCATTCGGGAGTTTTCGGTAGGAAATTCCGCTGTTCACTAAGGAATCCGAGAGTCCAAGGGCTTGCTGAATATCGACTAGCGAAAGATGTCGGTAAGGCAGGTTTTTGATATTGTCGTCCTGAACACCAGACAGGATGTCTAGGAGCGAGACATGGTCAGAGAACTTTATGCGACAAGTGAGTGTGTTAATGACGGGACCGACAACGGACTCGATTCCCTCCACAGGAACGTCTCTCAACGATGCCAGGTAGGTGAATGACACATCATTGGAGTTGCAGAAAGATCGCACCGTCAATCCCCAGGCGGTGCTGAATGCAGTCGGTAGCGTGAGGCCGTGCGCTTCGCAGCTCTTCTTCAACTCCTTGAAGAAAGGAAGACTAAGTCGCTTCGTCCGCAATTGCCTCATTGAAACATGACCATCGTTCAGCGTGGGGAAATGGCATGGTTTCATGTCCGTAAGATAGGAGCGCCAGTAGTCCACACTGGCATCCTGTGGCGTTCCACGCAGATATTGCATATAATTCTTGAAATCGGGCTTTGGCTCTTCAATCTCGCCTTGATAAGCCAATTGAATGTCCCGAGCGATGATTGAAATTGAAGTACCATCCATAACGACATGGCTGAGCTCAAGTCTGCAGAACAGCTTTCCGTTGTCCGTCTCACATATAGTAAATCGGTGCGGCGGATGAGAGTTATCGTAGACCGCCGGTGACTGTGCATCTAGGGTAGGTAGCACATCTGCCTCAGATGCACAGCGTAAATAGCAGGGTTGAGAGTCGTAGGACTTCAAGACCACCTGACAGAAGAGGTCTTTGCTGGTCAAATTCTCCAAAAATAATGTCCGCAGCATCCCGTGATACGCAACAACTCTTTTCCATGCAGTTGTTAGCCGATCAACATCAGGCTTTCCCCTAAGCCCCAGCACCTCAAAAGTGTCGTGCACAGCGTAAAGTGTAGTATCTCTGGAGCGACTCAGTAAGATACCCTGCTGCATCTTCGAGCAAGGGTAGATGTCCTCCACGCTTTGCATAGAATCGATGCCCACACCCGGGAGTTTCTTCGAGGCAATGGTTTCAAGTTCGTCGTATGTCAGCCTGAGTAGAGGGAAGCTGCTCAAAGTTGGCTTGGGAGGAACTGTCTGGAGGCTTTCACCCATAGACTTCAGAAGAGACCGGCAGCAACCGACCCACTCCCTGATGAGTTCTTGATGTTGCATGTATCTGTTAAAGGAGAAGATGAAGCGAAGCTTATCTTGGACCACCATGGCAGAGATCTCGAACAGCGCGAATCGGGGGGTATCGGCGCCAAAATCAGCCGCACCTCCACCGCGGCCTGTTTCTCCAGCCATTTGATCCATGAGCTGGAATAGGCCATCTTTCCTTTGCAAATCACGGTGCTGGCCCACATAGTTGAATGACATCTCCATGGGACTATAGTGCAGGCAGCTCCCGTCCTCACGAGTCGTCAACACGCGCCGAGCAAACTCCTGTCGTCCATTATCGGAGATGCGACGACGCAGGTCCTTGACTCGAACAACCGTCTCAGCTGGGTCGTCTGTCGGCAGCTCCTGCAGAAGGATAGGATATAACGTCGTGAACCATCCAACAGTACGTGAGATGTCAATCATCGAGTCCCAGACCTCGCGTCCATGGCCTTCGTTGTAAATGACAGGTAAGGAGCGATCCTTGAATGTCTGTCCAAAAGAATGCAAGAGGGCGGCCAAGAAAACGTCGATCGGCTCCGTCGCAAGGCTTTGGTGACAATCCATCAGGACAGTGCGAGTGCTTTCAGTGTCAAGCTCGAAAGTCTCACAGTCGACATCGCCGTAAGTGGTTTGTTTGTGTTGGAGCCCCCAGTAAGCGTAGTCTGGCGCCGGGGTCTCAGGCAATTCTTCCAAGGTTGCAACGGGCGCCTGGCAATGCTCAGCTTGCAGGCGACACCAATTCTGAAACGGAAGAGATCCGTTCTGCGAGACGGGTTGATCGGGGTTGAGGAGTAGATCTTCCAGATCTTCCAAGATGATACGCCAAGAAACAATGTCTACCACCATGTGATGAGCCACCAATGAGAGCAGACTGGTACGGCCGTCCTCGCAGAAGATATCGACGGCAAAGACCGGCCCCACGAAGACATCGATGGAAGACTGGCTCTTGGAGATTGCCTCCTCAATCTTGTCCTGGCTGACAGCATCATGTACGCGCCAGCGGTACGAGCCCTTGACCTCTTCGGTAATCCGCTGCTGAAAGCTACCATCTGCTTTCTTTTCTTCCAGGCGAGAGCGGAGCATGGAATGACGACTGATGATCATCTCAACAGCCCGGCGCAGATCATGTTCCTCAATGTGCTGGTTCAAGCGTGTGCGAACACTCTGGTTGAAGTGACCTTGCCCTTCGTGTCGAACTGTGAAATGAAGCTTCTGGATGGGGGAAAGATCGAAGGGCTTCTCAACCTCCTCTTCATACACGATTGACTGGTCGATCCGCTTCACACGTGTCGCCAATTCTCTGATAGACTTACTGTGAAGTACCTCCTGTACCGTCAAACCCATCCCCTGTTTCTTACAATAGCCCAGACAAGTGATCGCCGCGATGGAGTCGCCACCCAGGCTCAGGAATCCTTGGTTCACTCCAATCTGGCTCCTGGGAATATTGAGAACACGGCTCCAGATTGAAGCAAGCTGTTCCTCGGTGGTGCTGGTGGGAAGCATTGCCGCCTCGGCATTTTCCAAAGCAAGAACCTGCCGATCCGGATCCTCTGTCATCTCGCCAATCCACTTTGCAGTTGCCTTTCTATCCAGTTTTCCTGATGCGAGCAGGGGCAGCGATTCGACACAGAGCCACACGGCCGGGATCATGTACGTAGGAAGGCGGTTTGACAATCTTTCGCGAACTTCCGCAACGATGGGTGCCTTCCTGGCCGGGTCGAGGAGTTGGAGTGGTGCAGCATTCGAGTTCTGTTGTCCTTCAAACTGAACGGAGAGCGACAGGACTGCAACGAGTTTACCGGATGAGAAACCGGACTTCGACAAGAATGTTAGACAGTGTTTGACGTTAGGATCAGCCACCAGTTGGTTTTCGATCTCTCCTAGCTCCAGTCTCTGCCCGTGGAACTTGACTTGCGTATCTTTACGCCCTATATATGTCAGTGAACCATTATCGGAGTTATATCTCACCAGATCACCCGTCTTGTAGATTCTGCGATTAGCATTGTGGGTGGCATCAAGTTTAGTCCAGGCTGGGTCGTAGATAAAGGAGTCGTTCGTTTTTTGCGGATTGTTCAGGTAGCAACGGGCAAGTGTCGGCCCTTCCAGTAGTAGCTCACCGGGACAGCCGACAGGGACAAGCTGGTCATGGTTGTTGGGGTCTACGACCCAACAACGCACGCCGACGGGAAGACCGATGTCTCTGCAATCCGAGGTAGGAGTCACTCTGGAATTGACGACAGCAGCGACGGAGCTCTCCGTTGGGCCGTAAGCGTTGATCAGATGAATCTTGGACCAGGTCGACATTTGAGCTTGTGACATGGCTTCACCAGCCAAGATAAGGGTCTCCAATCCCGGTACCAGTGAGATATCGACGAATTCAACGAATGAAGGGGTCAAGATGGCGTGGTTGATTTTCATATCGTTGATCACCCTCACAATATCAGTCAGACGCTCCTCCTCGCTCGGAACACAAACACATCCGCCCACTATCAGGGTGGTGAGAATCTCGACGAGACTTGCATCGAACGTGTGCGCTGCAAACTGCAGAACACGGGAGGTCGAATACATGTTGTGGGGTGGAGCATGAGCCATAGCACCAGAGACATAAGCCCGATGTTCAAGCATCGTACCCTGCGCATGTTAGGGAATTATTGCTGATAGAACTTTCTTTGTCACGCACCTTTGGCTCTCCAGTGGATCCAGAAGTGAAAATCACATAGGCAGCGTTGCGACCTTCCACTTGCGGCAAAGCACCAGCGGACTCGCTGGGCGAAGGAAAACTATCAATAGTCTCTTGGTCGAGAGGAATCACGGTCTCAGTGACTTCACTCAAAGCCTGCGCACGGTCTCTAGAACACAGCAGGATTCTGGCCTTTACGGCTCCGGCCAAGGATTGGAGGCGAGGAAGAGGATGCGTAGGATCTAGAGGCACAAAAGCCCCGCCAGCCTTCAAGACACCCAACATTGCCACAATGTTCCATTTCTATCGGACTCATGCCATTAGTCTCGGAATTCCTTGACCCAGATGAGAGCCACGGCCGCTGATAGAGCTGATTTCACGACTCACCGACTTGTTGAAGCAGAGAGCGACGCATGTTTCGGGTCGGACTCCCTGCGCATATAATTGATATGCAACCTGCGACGACAACAGATCCAGGTCTTTGTACGTCAAACTACCGTCCCAAGCACAGACAGCTTCACTTTCCGGGCGAGTGAGGACTTGTTCCTGAATGACCTCATGGATACAACGATCGTAGGCCACCGGCATGGACGAGTTGAATCTGCAGACGCGCGCCCAGTCCCGATCCGAGAAATGGTTCAAGTCACTGGCGGCAGTATCTTCCGGGGAGAGCACCCGGGAGAGGATCTGCTCGAAATAGTCGGCGACGCACTTTACGTGCTCCGTGGACATATCATGGTTCCAGTATTCAAAGAAGATGCGCACATCATCTTGCAAGATTTTCACGTGGAGCCTCACACGGCACTGGGAGAAGTGATTTTCCCGGGTCAGCCTGGTTGAGAACATAGGTGGGAGCGGTAGCACAGGATCTAAGATTTACCTCTTCTGGTAAGGGATTCACCAAGACTGGTTGGAGAGCAGGGGATTGGGCATCCTGCATCGGTTGACGGCAGTTGCGTAGCATGAGAACGGTATTGAACAAGGTGTAGCCATTTGTTGAAGGCAGGTAGGGGATGGTTGCGCGTGTCTCAGCGCCACCATCCTCGAGGTCATCGTGCTTAGTCTCTGCTCTGCGCAGAACGCTGTGGACGGAGTCATCCTCGGCGACTGAAAGATTAAAGATTAGAGGATTAAGATCATTATGTGCAGCAGAAGAATTCGAAGGAGGGGATGATGATGATGAGGATGAGGATGATGAGGATGGAAGATAGCCGAAGCAGATGTCTTCCAGACCGGTGTAGTGGTGTAACAATAAGGCCCAGGAAGCCTTGAGGAGAGAATCCAGTTGATCCTGGTCCCAAGCAGACAGGAGCTGGGCGGTCTGCGCAGGACTTATTCTGGTCCTCAGGGAAGCAGGTCGCTTCGGCCCGGCGTGGCCACTGCCAAATCTAGGGAGACAGCATGGAATGGGTTGGGCCATGGTTCAAAACTTCCAATTGATCACCACCAAATTAATTGATCGACTCCCGAGAACCCAAGAAAAAGACTAGAAGACTGCCTGTCTGGAGAAACGACCACGGAAAGAGCACAAGTTTGGGAGAAAATCGAGGGGACGGAGTGGGAGAAGCACGACGCAAAAAGCTCGACTATATCTAACCTTTAAATTGGAACCGATGCCACACCACCCACACCTTTGGGGCCTTTCTTCATCACCATGGCATTTCGATGGTCATCGCCGGAAATAGATCGATGGATCGATGGAGCCAATCGCCCCTCCTCATCGCATGGAACGGTTTGAAAGGCTTACGGATTACCAGGCATTCTTTACTAGGAAGAATACGAAACGCTCCCCCGTCTCAGCCAATGATTTGTAGGGCAGTGAAAAAGCATCAAAGCATGGCTCAAACCATGGCCACCCCGCTATATCCTTGCTTAGTCTAGAGCTGAAGGTGTGGACACTGGACAGGGAATGGACTCCATGGCTTCACCTACTAAGCCTCTCTGCATGGCAATAGGCGCACTGTATATGCCATCGAAGTGGGCACTATGCCGACAGTGGAGCATGTTCAGGGGTGGAATGAATAGAGAGAGAGAGATAGAGGAGAAGATCGTCTGGCTACCATGGAGGGGGGTTGTGGAGAAGGGTTGTGTAGACTGTGCTAGACGAAGGGGCAAAAGAATCCAACCTACCGCCGGAGGGATATAGCACTAGAGGCATATTGTACAGTATGACAGGAATCCCGAATTGGGAATTGAAGAGAAATTGGAAATAGGTTCTTTTCTAACCTCAGTCCAAGTAGAAGAGAGGGGAAGGGGGCAAATTCATCACACAGTTGCTGTCAGAATCAAGGCGACCAGCCATGAATGACGTTCATGGCTGAAGCGTTGGCCCTGATCATCACCGCTGCAGCATGAATTTCGACATTTGAGGTTGGTCTCGAACTGTGAACTCGCGGAGAGAGACCCCCCCCCCCCATTTCACTTCAAGCTCTTTCAGGCCTCAAACAAACAGGACCCACTGTGATTTATGGCTCGGAAATCAGGGTACCGAAGATGGCGAATGGAATTGTATCTATGTACGTAACTATCTAAACAAACCCTTGTGCTGACGAAACTGTATTATCGGGGCAACCCGCCAACACCTACTACCGGAACTATATGCTGGCAAGTACATATACGGATCTGCGAGCTGACCGGTAGTGATGCTAGGAGGCCGGAGGAATTGAAAATCGACACTCGACACTCGGCGAAGTGGAGAAGGAGACAACGGAGAGCAGAGGTTAACGCCGAGATTCGATTGCTGTGCGTACTACGGAGTAGTAGTCCGTAACTAGTGGCAGTAGATTTTATACCTACCATAGGCCAAGGACCACGGTTTCAGACTGCATGTCAAACGTAGCAAGAGAAGACTGAGGTAATCGACGGCGATGGCGGCGACGATGACTATCACTCCGTGTGATTGAGCTGTTGTCGACCGATATAGTACCGGTATTCAGTAAATAAGCATGCAACCAAAGGTGGAAGTGAACGGGGACCCGGACTGGCAACAAGAAAAGAGAAAATAAAAGATCGGAAATAATTACAAAGGAAAGGAAAAAAAGAAAAAAAAAAAAAAAAAAAAAAAAAAAAAAAAAAAAAAAAAAAAATAGAAGTCATACTAAATCGGCAATGACAAACACAACAATAAAGATTAAAGTAAAATAAAAATCAAATCGATCCCTCCTCCTTCCCAAGTCCA